AGTAGCCTTTGGTCCAGGGAGGAGAGGAGGAGAAAGGTCTTTGATAATGTACATCAAAGAGAGACGCTGAAGTAGGCTGTGTTTTCATTGCGTGCATGCCAAGGTCGTCTCTGATCCTGCCCGTGTGGTGTTGGCGCTCAGGGCCAGTCGGATAGCACGAGGTGAGCTGCTGGGTCTGTAGGACATGTAGGATGGGAAGTCAAACATGGCAACCAGCAAAGGCTTGTAACAGGTTAAAGTTGTGGCCATCGATTGACTCTGAATTTCTCCTCTCTGTCAATGTATACATGCCAGAGTGCCTGTGTTTGATTTAAAGGGACAGTTCACCCCAAAATCTGTGTTGATATGGTTGGTGGGTGTAGTTTGGTGGAAGAAAATGGTTCCCATATGAAACTGCTCACAACAAGGTCATGATTTCTGGAAAGAGACGTTGCTGAGTTTTTCAAATGTATTTTTTGACACTCTGAGTGCCATCTAGTTCCATTATATTTAAGACACGGCAGACACCTCTACGGCCGATATCTCCAACACTCTGCAACTCATACTTACACAATCTAGACTGATGAATAGCACTGCACGTAAGAGGAAAAACATTTTTGGTTTTTGGTGAGAACTTTCCTTTTAAAGTCTTGGAATATGGAGATGTCTGCAGTCACGTAGTGAAAAGTTAACGACCACAACCACCAATAAAACTATGAATCTCTACACAGTGTGAAACTTGTATTTGTGCTCCAAGAGTGCAGCCGACCTCAGGACTTGTGCCGAGGGAAGAACTGCCTAAATTAGGGTACAGAGTTTCCATTGAAGTTCCCTGTAAAGTGCAGCATCAAGAGTGGAAAAAGACAGAGCTTTGTCTTCTTGGCTAACTCTTTACAGTAACTAGAACGACCCCTAATCTGAGTTGTAGTAGCAGTTGTAAGGTTAACAAATGTATTGTGGTCCAGATGCTCTGCAGCTGTTTGCCAGAAGGTAAGTGGTTGAGCGAACCATTGGAGGGGTCCACTTGATAAATTACAGGGCAGTCATTGTATTAACAAAACAAATTATGCAAATCATGTGTATTTTTAATAACCTGGCAATCCAGAGGTTGATAAAACAATCCCAAATCAAGGTCCACCAGCTGGCATTTTCTTTTAGCTTTCAACTATATAACATGGTCTCATTAGTGAAGGGTGTTTAAAGATGAACCTGTCCCACAACTAAACCACTCTGTTCATGCTCTTCTTATATACACTGATCAGCCAAAACATTAAAACCACTGACAGGTGAAGTGAACAGCACTGATCATCTTGTTACAGTGCAATGCTCTGTTGGGGAATCTTGGTTTCTGACATTCGTGTGGATGCCACCAGACATGCTCCACTCACTTAAACACCAGTGCAGACCAGGCATCCCCCATTATGGCAACGGCACTCCTCAGTAGTTGTGGCCAAAGCGTGGGTGGCAACATACCTTAAAGGTAGGGTCTGGAGGATTTTCCAGTTGCTGTTTGTAAACACACATTCAAATTCGGCCCCTCCTATCAGGCTCAACTCTCCCAGGTGTACGGAGCCCGGAGGTGTGGAAGGCTTCACAGAAGAGGTTCAGGCAAGGCTCGCGCTGGTGCACGCTCGGACACGCTCGGGCACGGCACCTGCGCTCTCTCACTGGCTGGGGAAATCTCCGCCCAGAAGCGGTCCGAGCTCACAAAAACATCAAAATACAGTTAAAGGGCAGGAGCTCTGCAAACAGAGTCACCACCACACGAGTAGAAGCCCATAGGTGATGATTAAGCAGGATTTCATTTGTGTATGTCTATATTTTGTTTTGTATGAAAATCCTCCAGATCCTACCTTTAAAATATAGTGTGGATGACTTGACATAAACCTGACATGACTGACCAAATATAGGTAGGTGAGGACAAGCATTTGTTCCCAGAGCTAGTGATCGGAATAATATGAAACAGCAGCTTAAGTGACAGGAAACACCTTTTAATGCGAGTATTGGAAAGCTTATCACTTAGACACTATAAATTGTAATGATTTGTCAGTTCTTTGGCTTTCTCATGAGTAAACCCTCAAATGTCCAGTCCTGTGTGTTTTGAGTCTCTTCATTTCACAACAAAAATAACTCAAAGTTCACTTGGTTTCACACGGGACATGAACACCAGTTTTCTGGGTGAAAGTAGTGTGTTTGTTTGTGTCCTTATGTGAACTTAAGTTCTTTATTCTACTTTGATCTTTGCTGCCTTTAGCATATTGTTCACGTGATGGCAGCCTTCCCGAATATGTGCATTGCTTTTCATAGGTGTATGTATGAACAGCATGTGGGCAGTCTGAACAAAGACAACCATATTCAGAGTGGAGAGTGTGTGTCAGGGGAACAGTACATTTTGAACAATAGTTGGGGTGACCATACTGGAAAAAAGTGCAATCATTGTGGAGTATGACACTTTTCATAAATGCATAAAGAGAAATGACAATATCTTTCATTTTCCAAACCTCCATCAGCACTAAACTTAATCAGTCAGTCTGCATGTTGTTTTTCAGTAAAACACTAAATGTGTCACTTTGACAAGAAGGTAAATTGTTACGAGATACCAGAAATAGCCTTTTTGAAGTATGTGAGGGTAGTGTGCAGTGTTAATGTGAAAGTCCCCTCACTGTGCAGTGAATAAGTGTTAATACCAAAGCTGCATGACATCGTTAACTTGCTGCGTTTAAAGGTATTCACTGTATTTATTTAATTAGGTTCCACTGTAAGGTGTCTTGATCGATGTCTCAGCTGATCCGCACAGTGGTACTTAGTGCTGATACATTCACAATAACTTCAACATGTTCAAGAGTGTTCTTTTGTTATGCTCTCCTCAAACTGTTTAGAAAATTTAACCACAACTGAGGGAAAACGGTGATTATTAATTCAGTCACTTCTTCTCACCCTGCTGAGTAATCACAGGTTGGCTATGTCTGAACTCTGGTTTATAATGTGTGCAGAGGCTGTGCAGCACTTTGTGCACTGTCCCTGAGGGCAGAACAAGACACAGAAGGTAATTGATACTGTGATCATACATAATTTGATGTAATTTATATATTACAAACACTTTAAAGGAATAGTTCACATTTTTTGAAGTGGGGCTGTATGAGGTTCTTATTCATTGCTTAGTACATACCAACCAGGTCTCACTCTGAAGTTGTTGAAAACCAGCACTTGGTCAGTGACTTCTAGCATCAGACACTGACTAAAAAAGCCGTCCTTTCACGTTGGCATGATGCTCAGCTGGTCGCCATTATTTTTTAACGGCACACGGCAGCATCAGGGGAAAATGTGGCGAGACAACAATTAAGTGGGAGGGGTGGTGGATGGGTCCAACCAGGAGACTGGAGTTCGCTTTCCGTGTGATTGTAAAGCCAAACCCTGTTCTTTTTTCCTAAAACTAACCATGAGCTTGTGTTGGCAAAACCCAACCATGTGCATTTGTTGTTGAAGGAAAGAAACGTCAATTTGCGGTGTTGTACTAACGTAGTGCGTTTATTTTAAAAGAGACTGTTTGTAAACTGTACTGTATATTTCCTGTGAGTACAGAAGTGTATTTTAAAAAAGACAATGCATGTAAAAGGCAGAAGTTGACACGGTATCCTAGAACGTCAACAACCAACGCACCCAGGGTACCTTGCATGTTATATCTCGACGTGGAAAGTCCATGGGCAAACATTGATATGTGATGAGATCGGAGTGAGAATGTGTTGAAGTACTGCTGCTGCTGGTTTTAGTTTGTGTTATTGTGTGACTTTGGTGAATCTAGATTAACCCTTTTAAATGCCAAAATCATGCACCAAAATTTATACATATCTCACGTTATCATTAGTAATTTATGTATAACCCATGTATTTTGAAGGCTGTGATCATGTGACCAATGTGCTGACAGGAGTAAGAAGGAAGTGGACCAGAGGGGTACATTAAGGAGTCAGCTTGGGGTGGTGGATGCGTCAAAAAACACAGGACTTTCCCCCAGGAGACCGGTGTTCAGAAAGGTGTAAACTCCAGGTGAACTTTGAGTCATTTTACAGTGTGTCCTCACCAAGTTTCTTTTCTTAAACCTTACCTTTGTTACTTGGCACTGCAGCAGCATGAGAGGGCGGAGCAGTCCTCCCTCTCTGCTCCATATTCTGTGTCCTCCTCTTCATCATCAGCCACCTGAATATTAGTTAGTAGCAGATTCTTGGTCAAACATCTCCAAAGGCTTCTGAAGGATGCAAGAAACGCATGAAATCGAACCTGTTCTGAAAATTTTAATGATAGACGAAAGCAAACATGATTGACACAACATGAGGTTGTATTTATTTTTGGACATGCGACAATTTCGGACAGAAAAAACGGACTCAGTGTGCAAAGGCCTTAACACAGACAGACTAGCTGATTGAGTTAGCGACCAGATGCAGCAGCCCCCGTGTTTAGTGATGTTAAAATACTGTTTGTCTTAATGAAGTCTGGCTTTAAAGAGAGCGACACCACAGCTTACTTGCCCCGTCAGAAATCACTGTCTGCCGGTAAGGTTATATTGTCATTTAACCTTTCAGGTGTGACGTTTTGGTAGGGCAGTTGAAGTACGTTTCGCTGCTGCCCCTGTCCACAGCAGTACGTTGCTTAGCTTCTGTGTGGGACTCCAGCCTTTTCTAAACTGGAGGCGTGCTGACTGACATGTACTGTAGGTAATACTGTGACTATAGAGAGTACCTCATACAGCGGCACTCCAAAAGAGCCGAACTATATCTTTAACTACTATACCTGCTAATGATCCACTGGAACACAATGTAACAGAGCCAATGAATCAAAACGCCACAAACTATTCTGCCACTTATATCAGAAATCACTTAATATTTCTGTATCTGATACTTCCTTCTCTCCCTCCAAATCCCACCTGAGAAATCATCTTAACTACAGAGAGCCTTTATAACCACGCGGACCTCGGTGGGAGCTTCAGAGAGAAATCTGTCCATTCATGAAAGGCGCAGGGCCAGCCAGACTCAGCCAGACCGGCCCTTCAGGGACACCCGCTGTTTGACTTGGCACAGGACGGGGCCTGGGTACAGGGCTACAGTTGTCCATAGCCACAGGCTGCAGAGCTGAAGGTATTTCCTGACTAAATTTCTCTGTCATACTGTTTGCAGTCGCATTTGAAGGACGGCGAGGGAACTTACGAGAGAGAACATGGATACAAACTCATTAGATGCCATAATGGGAAGACACAAATACAACCACTGAAGTAGTCACATTTTTATTTCTATTTTAGTTTATGAGCTTTGGTAAAAGCTGAAAGGAAATTAAAATCTCATAGGCTTCCTTTCCTTTAACCCAACTTCCATGTCTTCTTTTTTCCTGCTTCCTCATAAGTACTATATTTTTCGTATAGGCCGTGACTTTATCTAAATGCACTAAACCCCATGAGTCTCATCTTTTCTCAATTTCCTCTGTTTTTCTTCTACGACTGCCCAGATGTCTCTCCTCTCGCCATGCATTTTGTTTTAGTTTAGCATAAATATTCAGCAAAGATGTCTGCCTGCAACGGGCCATCATTCCCAAGAACACCTCTCACCATTATGTTAATGCATATAGACACTTAGAAATGGGCACATTTGAGGCAGCGCACACACACACACACACCTGCAAGCACCTGTGTACACACACAAACACACACTCACAGAAAAAGAGAGATGAGTGATGTCTTTGTATCATTTCCCGGCTGTATTCTCTCTCTGTGCTGTTCCTTGTCACTTTGGCCCCTTTCAAATGATCCACTGGGATTAATGAATGTAATTTTCTCAAATTAATTCCCCCCTATTCATACATAATGGGCCAAACCACAACAGTGTTTAACTGGTGCATCTGTCCATTGGGTGTCATCATTTAAGTCACAGCAGGAGTTGGTAATTGACTATTGCTCCAGTGTGGTGAACACAGCTCCTTATGTTCCTTTCTTTTTGCTCTCCTTCTGCAGCCCAGTTGCCAGAAGGAAATGTTGGCATTGTACATGTCTGCAAACCACGGATACGTTACATTTGCAAGTTTAATTTGTGCCGTATCAATGCTTCTTAAGTGATGTAATATCTGAGCTGACTTTGTGATTGGGCGGTGCAGGAAAAAGTGAATGGTGTGTCACTAAGGCCTTCCAGGCTGCAGACCACTGTTAGAGGCAAACAAACTGAAAAACTGGTTGTCACTTAGCGAGTCATTGCTGTTTTTCCAGCAACTTTTTAAGCACCAAATGTGGGTGTTTTTAGTGACCCATCACTGTGTTTCTAGCAGCTTGTCTGGCACGAAAAGTGGTTGTTGTTTGCTTAGACGTTGCTTCATATTTGGGTTAGTGGCATGACATTTTTTTTATTTATTTTTTCCCCAAGACGTCGCTGTAATATATTAGCTGACATTGAGATTGGGAGGCACAGTAAATAGTGAATGGTGTGTCACTTAGGTGAGACCTTGCTGTTTTTCTAGCGACTCTTTAGCCCCCAAACCTGGGGAGGTTGGGGAGGAAAGCTAAGGGTGCTTTCACACCTGGGTGCTTTCACACCTGCCCTGTTTGGTTGGGTTCAATCAAACTCAAGTTTGTTTGCCCCCCAAGTATGGTTCGTTTGCGCGCACCAAAACAACTGGACCCAAGACCTTCTTGAAGAGGTAGTCTCAGTTCAGTCACAAACAAACTCTGGTGCGGAACATTTGTGGTGAGAACGTGTTCCAACCTCGATCTGAACCAACTGCAGTCACATGACACATTGTTTGGGTTAAACATGAGCATGTTCCAGTCCTGGAGGATTATTAATGTGCACCTCCTCCTGCACTGCCTTAATATGCACACTAAAATCAACCTGCGTAGTTGTCCCTCCATTGTGACATTAGAAAGTGTCACATTTATCTTGCAAATGTACTCTTCTTCAACGTTTTGTTTACTTCCTGGAGTTTTCCCACATGGGAATTCTGACCAATCAAGAGCAGCTTTCTCGCACAAGACATTTGATCTGGTCCGCTTGTAAATGCTGCCGTGAGAACACGAACCAGCTCTAGACAATTATGCAACTTTTTCACAAAATTAGTCCCTGATTCGGACCAAAGCAAGACAACTCTAGGTCTGAAAGCACCGTAAGTTGGATATCCGACTAAAGGGGGCGTTTCAGTTAAAATTTGCAACTGGAACTGCACTGGAAATTTAAACTTCCCAGTGCAACAGAGTGCACCATAAGGGCCAAGACACATGCTGTACCTCTAACCGCCTGGAAAAGGCATTATTCTTGTGCCCACTCTACGCCAACTTTAAAAATGGTAGAGGCAGGTTGAATCTGAGGTTGCTAAGCTACCACAACAAGCACCGTATCACAGCCTACTTACCAATTATTATTAGTGCGGAGCTGATCTTCTTCCACGTGCTGTTTTTCTGAGTGTTTTCTATGGTGAGCCCTGCACTAAAATGATCAACTTCTCCATATTTACCACAGACTGATAATATTGGAGGAGGTGAAAGATATCCGCTGGCTCTGATTAGTTGTTCCTTGTCACATGACATGCTAAAAATTGATCTCTGTTTATCATGAGGTAACACCCTGAAAAATATGCTCTGGAGAATGCTTTTGAGCACACCTTCCAATCATCTGCACTGAGAACAATGGATTTGAGGCCAACTTTGTAAGAAAATTAGTCCCTGATTTGGACCAAAGCAAGACAACTCTAGGTCTGAAAGCACCCTGACACATTGCTGCACCTCTGAGATTCTGGCATGAATTTTTTCCCAAGACGTTGCTGCTTTTTTGCCAGAATAGCACCACGGAAAGCTTTTTATTTTCTTTCAAACACCAGTGCTTTCCCAGCTGGGATTGTGCTGCCCAAACCGGGTATTTTAAGCCATAACATGTTCTTTTACTAACCATAACCAAGTGTTTTTTGTTCCTAAACCTAACCACTACTTAACCACAGCGTTGTTGAAACGTATCCACTACATAGTAACGTACAAATGTAACATATCCGTGGTTTGCAGAAACCTACTATACCAACATTTTTCCTGGCGATTGGTTGGCCCTCTGCTGTGAGTAACTCCACCACATCGAGTGCAGGTTTAGATACGGTCAGTTATTGGTGAACGAGCGTATATCACATATAGACGTATAAATTAAAATATTATTGGTCATGTTTGTCTCATATTCCTCCGTCTGTGAATGAGGACTTTGGAAATGGATATACTTTGATCATTTCCCCTCCACATCCTCTGTTTCCCACTCTATCCGTACCCCGACTACCACGCTTTGTCTCTCCTTGTCTCTCTCCCTCCGTGGCTGCCTCTGCTTCTGATTTAAACGCGCAGCAGGGGGTTATGGGTAGAGACTCCCACTGTGAAGGATCCCTCTGACTCAGGGAGAGCTGAAGGTCAAACACACTCATGATCAGAACCACAGGATGACACTGAAGAGGTGGAATATAAAGAGTGCAGGGATGAAAGCCGCGGAGATAAGTTCTGTTCTCTCGGCAGTGTTTTCAGTGCAGTTCAGTATTCTGTAAACACCACGTTGTACGGCTCACAGTGGAGGAGCAGGGAGACGATGTGCCCGGTATTATAGCTTCGACAACATATAGAGAAGGAAGACAGATTCCAAGTGTTCAGTATTACCTGATCAGAAAAGCCAAACCCACATCGAGTGAGATCTTTTTATAGTCTCTGCAAAAACTGTGGCGCTATCAACAACAACGCTGTCATCCTCTCAACTTAATTTTTGTTTTGTCTGCCTGATTTGTGTTTCTCTCGTCTTAATTAGACAGACCCTTGACCGACAAAGCAAACAGAAGAGGAACAAGAGCACGAAACAAGAGAAAATCATCTGTTTCTTTGAATGGAAAACTCCTGGAGCCCAGATGAAGGTTTTTCCTTTTTCTCCTTTGCAATTTTTGTTGGAAGCATTTGCATATTTCAAAAGTCTACCAAAGAAAATAGCCCAGGGGCAGAAATGGCCGATCTGCATATTGAAGACTCAACAGAGGGCGAAGAGTGGGAGAGGGAGAGAGAGGGAGAGACGGAGAGAAAGTCTCTGTGTAAATGATTCGAAGAAGATCTTAAAGCAACAATAATAAGAATTAGCTGACGGGGGCATGCTTATTATGACGGATTAATTGCAGTATCCACTACAACTAAAACAGATTATTTGCTTAGTTGTGAGGCAGTTTCACGCAGAGCGAGAGCGAGAGCAGAGGGAAAAATGTGCATCATAAGAAGGCCTCTTCACCCAGCTTCCTTCATGAATAACAAATAGAGGACCCAGTGCTGTGACCAGCCAGCACAACACATGAAAAACATTAGTGCATTCCCTGAGTCGTCTGGTTTTCTCTACATTGTGCTGGTAGGCTGGAAAGATGTGAAACGCTGTGGTGCTTTTGTGCAGCTTCTCGGTTTCTGCTGCGTTTCAGTAAATATGGCTCAACAATAAACAGGTTTTATAGACGGTGGAACAAATACTCACTTATAATTTTATGTTTTTGAGTTGTAAATAGATGTATTAATGATTAATAAACAATTTACTAATGCCTTAAAGATCAGTTAAAAGTCGTTAATAACTTTTGTGCTGGCTATTCTATCCTACTTGTGCATAACACTTGCTTATAAATGGTAATAAATCATTAATTAATAAAGGGTTATTACACTGATCAGTCAGCAGCTGTGAATATAGAGATTTTTAAATTTTAACTAATGGCCAAAATATTTTGAATAAAGGATTTACTGATGTCTTACAGACCAGTTACAAACCCTTATTGCATTAGAAACAGCATATTTTGAAATATTGACAGTAACACAAATCATCTGTGCTGCACAGCAGGATCAATGGGCTCACTTAAGACTGAAAAATCTCAACTTTAATAACAAACATTGCCGTATCTGGTTACATATTATCTGTGCTATTATATAATACAAATTTGTGGACAAGTATTGATCTTTTTGTATAATTAATTTAATTTTAATTGTATTACAAATTCCTAAAACTACAACCACAATTTGATTCTAAAAAAATGCTGGAAATAAAGTTGGGAATGTGAAATAAGTAGTAGTAGTACAACTAAAAATGAATGTTACGGATAAAAATGTTGAGGATTCAGGCAGTAAAGAAAAAATGTTTGGCTGAAGTGGTGCATGAAAACTCGCTCTCTGTTTTGGGTAGCTTTAAATTTATCAGGACCAGGCAGTAATTATAACACACTGCTGGGAAGGTTACTCTTGAACTGTAGGTTATTAGTTACCCTGTTAAAAATGTAAAAAGTACTTTAACTATTTGATTATTTCATCAAATGAATGTAACTTATTACATTTGATTACTTTTTGATTACTGTGCTAACTAGGCAGGAAAGCTTACAAAATGTCCCCAAAAATAGGCTATGTAAAATGAAGGCATTCCTGCAGGATGAAAAGATGCAAAGCAGCAGAATGAATGTTTTATTCTACTTAGAAACTTTTCACTGGACATAATATATTCAGATGTGATCCCTTTATAATCACCAAGATTTTGATTAGTAACTGTAATTGAATTACACATATTTCTCAGTAACTTAAACTGATTAACATTACATTTATTTTGTAATTTAATCACATTTAACATTTATTTTTAAATATGCTTCAAAATGCCCCCCACCCACAGTATATATTTTGTTCAGCAATATGTTTGAGTTTTCCATTTATCCCCCCCCCAAACAAGTTTCACTTCAAATACAGATCAGTAATAATATACTAAATTTTTACATAATGCTGCACTACATGTGGACTTTACGATAGTTTGCCCAGACTCTGACTGGTCTACAGAGCCATACAGAAGCCAGAGGATGGCAGTGCAGCCCGAAGTCTGACCAGGTACATCAGAATCACGAGAAGTTCTGTTTTGTTAAAAGGTTACAAAGGTTACCCACCCACAGTGTATTGATGAAAACATAAAAAAAAACCTACTCCTTGACAGACAACCACACACCGTTGTCTGAAATAATCAGTAGCAAATGTTATCATAAACAAATGTAACAAAATGCCATCATTATCACTGATGGTCATAGTATTGAAGTGTGCTGCAGTTCTGCGTTTGGTTTGTGCACGTGGTGTTGCCATATCCCAGCTGAAGCTGCTGCCTCACTGCTGTGGGTAGAATTAATATCAAATACTGCACTGTATCGCTGTTTTTATTACTTTAAAATGTGTTAAAAAATGGAAAACTAGGATGTAATATGAGTGTTGGGTAGGCTGCTGTTGATTTTTATAAAGTGTTCGTAAGTCGTAAAATAGCCGGTATATAATGAACTTTTTCTGTGTGGTCCTCGGTTAGTTGCTGGCTCCGTCAAAATGGCACTCAGTCTTAAAAAGTTTGAGAACTCCTGATCTAAGATTTTTGTTTCATAGCGCTCTACAATGGTCTGTTTAGCTGTTAAGATTTCTCGTGGAGGGAATTTCCTCCAGACTCCCTGGAGGGTTGGGTTCCAGATGGTGTCATTAGAAAATGTCCCCCCTCTCCTCAGTGTAAACTAGGTGATTATGGCCCTGCGTCAGGAAGACAACAGTTTGACCATGAGCCATCTGAGAGTATCTGAGCCAAAATCAATTTTTAAGTCACTGACATTCACAACTCCAGATTTGGATAATGGTTAACCCTTTATTAATGTGTTGTTGTTGTGCTGACTGATCTATAAAGGATCAATAAATGATTAATTTACCATTAATAAAGCCAGTAGTTTCAACTTTTAACTCCTTTTTTGGTGCTTTGGTTAATCTTCAGGTATTTTTCTAACATTTTTAATATGTTTATTGATGTTTTTAGGGTAAATCAACACACATAACATGCAACAGAATACACAAACAACTCATGGGCTCTCAGATCAAACATCTATAAAGGGAAGAGACTCAGGAATTACACACTATAACTAAAAGACAGAAAAACAAATGACCAGGAGAGTGGTAATAAAACCCAGGCGTATCATTTGAATTTCAACGAAGTATATTAGTCAGCAAATTATATAATTAACAATGGATAAAATATACGGACTGTACCTTTGTGTTCACAGCAACAACTGCAACATAGAAAATTACTATGTGTCAGCGCCCATGCAGCAAGGCCAGAGTCAGTTTTATTCATAGGACTGGAGAGTGTTGAGCTGCGTTTTAACAATGCACATTTCTCTTGGATCACTGTTTGAGCGTGGTATGATCAATTACTAACTTAAAAACGCTAACACAGCCCTCTCAGATGAGTTTACATATTTAATATAGGCAGAATGAACAGAAACGGAAACATTTTTGAGGTTAGCACTGTTGCCTCTCAGCTGGAAGGCTCTGGGTTTGAGTCCACCGGCAAGCTCAAGTGTTAATATTACTCACTTTTTACAAGTAATCAGTCGTGTAATGTCTTGAAAAATGTTAGGTATTCTTTACCTCACAAGTTTTGGTGTGTCGTAGCTGTTAGATTTAGGTGCTCCTAACTCAAGACATGAGATAAAATCTAACAAAGTGAGTGCAAATTGTTACCTCACATTTATCGAGTAGATAATATAGGTTTGTTTGAACAGTGTAAGAATAGTTGAAATACCGAGTCTAATATAGGACATAAAATTCATTGTGCCATCACAAGGGTTAAAACAGCTGGATTCCAGTATTTAAATACATCAGATTATTCACTGCAGAATATTTTGTCATGTAGTTTATTGTGTCGCAGCCTGATGCTGCCTTTAGTTGTGCTGAATCATATGAGTGAATGTGTCATTATGCTGCTCCCTCAGGGATGAACCCCCCAGTGCCATCGTGTGCCCCCCACAAAAAGGTCACTGCACTATTGAAGGGATGTTGCAGAACACTGCGACCGGTTTCCATGGTGATTGAGGAAATGATACCTGGGGAGGATTAAACAGTTAAACAAAACAATCCTGGTTCATTTCCAGATCTGTCAGCTGAGAGTGGTTCTGTGTCTGCAGAACTCAAACACTTAAATTAATTTTAATTAATATTACAGGATGTGACACCTATTTACTTTCAACAGTTTATTTCTGTGACTCCAAAACTGTGCTACTTTTTTCAAACGTACCCACATCCAAAATTTGGAAGAGTCTAAATGTAATTTGGAACATGATAACTGAGCCATAATGGCGGCTAAGTGGATTCAAATGTTATGATAAAAGTCTCCGTTTATGTTTCAGGTTTGGGGGAAAAATACATTTTTTCTGTGTCCATTTATCTTTTACCTTTTTGGAAGAGATCCAAGACAAATCCTGAGAGCTTGAAAAACATAAATTAGCACATTTATTGGGCTGCACCTGGCTCTCTCCTCCAGTCCCACAAACTTTCACGCGTCTCAGTCGATGCTTTGCTCTCTCTCAAGGCCCCTTAAAACTGAAGGTGGTCAGAAAAAACTCCCCACGACACGTTTATTTAACCGGCCATCCATAAACTGACCCAGCATGGAAACATCCCACCAGAACCGGCTTGGTTGTTTTTTTTTTCGAGGATGGAAAAAATAAAACTGTTGGCTGGTTTTGTGCACCTTCAGCGCTCAGCAGTGCGGTGCGTCACGCCACTGTGGCCTTTCCTTTACCATATGAAAAGGAGGGCGTATTAAGATGCAGCAGGCGTACAAACCCCCTATGTACCCAAAGCCGACTTAAGTATCCTTGACACAGGCCTCGGCTGCTCTCAGTTATTATAAAAGAAGATAACCATATAGGTGTATACGGCGGTATCTGTCTGGCACTCACGTCTGCAGCTTTATAACCTTAGAATTTGTTTAAAATTATTATTAAAAAATAATAATTATGGAAGAAGTTTTGCGTAATTGCAGGGTTTCTCCACATGTTTCGTGCACACTTTACCCTTAAAGACAGCCAGATTACTCCGTGTCTTTTCCTATTGTACTATTTTTTTAGCACATTGTTGCTTTTATTCCTGCAGCAAGAACTTTGTGCACCCGAGGCTCGCCCGAGACACACCAGCTCCTCTCTGACTGCGCGTCCAATCAGCGGGAGCTCTGCAGAGCTTTTCTGTTGTAATTGGATGGAGATGGGAGAGGAATACGCAACCTTGGCACAACGTAAACACAAGCTCGTCTTCCTCGCTCCGTAGAGGACGCGCCGGGTAAAGCAGATGGAGTGAGCGAAACCGAGAGGAACGGAGAGACTTTAAAGTTTTTTTGCGTGTGTGTCATTGTCGTTAAATAGCTCTTAAACGTTAATATTAGAGACACTTGTTTTAAGTGAGTCAGCTCCTCCAGCTTGGATCAGAGAAGGTGTTTTTCCCTATCGCCAGATCTGGATTACGAACGGCGGAGCTCCCGGGACAGAGAAAAGTTTTGAAGACTATTGTTTTGTTGCGCAGGATTGTGTTTTATCACACAGATCTCAGCACGCACAACCTGCTCTGTAACATATATTATCATCCGAGCCTCTATGGAGTCATTTCAACTTTCTTTTATAAACTAATTCCATGCGCATGCTGAGTTAGACTGAATTTATTCATGGATTAGAATAAACTTGGACTTTAACAACATAAGAAGAGAGAATTCCACCTGAAGATACATGCTTGTGGGGATGGCAACAGCCACCTCCAGTCCATACTTAGCCAGCAGCAGGATTTTATCCGGCCCGGTGCTTCACTCTGATCGGAGGGTTGGTGGCATGCAGCCGGGCAGCACCGCTGTGACCACAGTGTCTAGTGGATACAGAGGGGACCCTTCAGTAAAGATGGTGCAGAGTGATTTCATGCAGGGAGCCATGGTGGCGAGCAACGGGGGGCACATGCTAAGCCATGCCCACCAGTGGGTGACATCGCTGCCTCACGCAGCAGCCGCAGCAGCCGCAGCCGCGGTGGCAGCAGCCGAGGCCGGCTCTCCGTGGTCCCCCAGCTCCCAGCCGCAGGACGTGAAGAGAGGCAGGGAAAGCCTGCACACGGGCACCGCTCTGCACCACAGGTCCCCGCATCTGGAACCTCACCAGACGCACCCGGGGAGCTGGGGAGGCACCTCCGCGGCGCACATCAGCATCACAGAGGGGCAGCAGCAGCAACAGCAGCAACAGTCGCTTATTTACTCTCAGCCCGGCGGGTTTACAGTCAACGGGATGCTCAGCTCGCACGCGGGGCAGAGCCTCATGCACCAGGGGCTGGTGCGCGGGGAGTCCCCGGAGCTGGACCACGGAAACCATCATCATCACCATCACCATCATAATCACCACGCACACCATCACCAGCATCACGGCGTGAACCACGAGCCGCACTCAGACGAGGACACCCCGACGTCTGACGACTTGGAGCATTTCGCCAAACAGTTCAAGCAGCGGCGGATCAAGCTGGGCTTCACCCAGGCTGACGTGGGCTTAGCTCTGGGCACCCTGTACGGCAACGTCTTCTCACAGACCACCATCTGCAGGTTCGAGGCGCTTCAGCTGAGCTTTAAGAACATGTGCAAGCTGAAGCCTCTGCTGAACAAATGGCTGGAGGAGGCCGACTCCACCACCGGGAGCCCCACCAGCATCGATAAGATCGCCACCCAGGGCAGGAAGAGGAAAAAGCGCACGTCCATCGAGGTGAGCGTAAAAGGCGCGTTGGAAAGCCACTTCCTCAAGTGTCCCAAACCATCCGCGCAGGAGATCAACTCTCTGGCGGACACTCTGCAGCTGGAGAAGGAGGTGGTCAGGGTCTGGTTCTGCAACCGCAGGCAGAAAGAGAAGCGCATGACGCCGCCCGGACTGCCGCGCACCCCGGAGGACGCGTACTCACAGGTGGGCAGCATGGGTCCTGACACACCGTCACCCTCCATAGACTGCAAGAGGATGTACAGCGACACGTGAAAATAACTCAGCGGACTAGAACAACGTGAAGTGTTTGAATACATTTTTAGAGAGATTATTTCATGTTTCCCTAAATGACAGGAGAAGTGATGAACTTTTCTTACAGCTATTCGTGTTCTTTGATCCACAATAATGATGTTATCCAGCGTGTATTCATTTCAGAGCAGGATAAATGTCTGCTTTTATGCATCCTCTGGTATTTTCCTGCACTATGAACCAGCCTTTAGCACAGAAAATGAAAATCTTAACTAAAATCTGAATAGAAAATAATTAAAAGGCGCCCAAAGAGCCCACAGAATGAACATTTTATCAATCTGATCCCAAGAAGTTCAAACAGAAGAAGTTATTTCCGTGTCCCTGTCATGTTAAAAATAAAACTTCCCTTGTAATGCTGCACAGTTTGATGTCCCACAGGCCTCCGTTTCTTTTTCTATGGAACACGTTGATTTAATGCGCTTTATCCAGCATTAAGTGTTTTTAATGAGCAATAATTTACCTTCCTTCAAACGTGTTTCTCACTTTTGTGTTGTGTGTCAGTGGATTTATGTTGTGACTCAGTTTAAGATGGTCAGAGAGCGACTTTAAAATTCTACCAGTATTGTGTTTCCCTCCATAGGAAACTCCTTTTTCTTTTTAAATTAGCAAACACTCCCTTAAGTTTATGTACAAATAATAAGTCTGCTGTGTATTCTTGTGTGATGATTTGGACTATTTATTTTTTTTCCACTGTGTTTATTTTCATGGAATAGACTATTTAATAAATTTGACATAAGGAAAGAAATGTCTGAGATGGACGTTGAGGTTCCTTCTGACACACACACACACACACACACGCACGCACACACACACACACACACACACACCATGTCATTTTAGCTCCCACCTTTGCAGTGAAATATTGACGTTAATATATTAAAGTTGCTTTTCAATGGATACTGTCAAATAAACTAATAAGGCTTTAAGTGTCAAACTCTCTTATGAGAATCCTGGAGAAATGATCCTGTATTTCACATCATGAAGTTATAAAGGCTAAAAATTCATGGTGTTGCCTGTACTCTCCTGTTAATAGCAGCTTCTCGAGCTGCAACGACTAATCAAATAATCAAGATTAGAAAAAGACAGAAAAGTTTGAGAATTTATCAATTTTTCGACAATACCAGCTCTGCTGGTCCCAGCCTGTTTAGACAAGGGCGTAACTTTCATTTCCACACTGTGGGCACACATGAAACAAGGGTTTGGGGGTCCTCCACCAGAGAATTTGGAGCATCTAACACTTAATATCCTGCATTTTGGTGGTTTTTCTGCACCAGACTGGGTGTAAATGTTTTTGATTCTGTCAAAATAAAAGTCCTCTGCTACTTTAATGTTGTTTTGGGGGGGTAGAAAAATGCACATTTTAAATATTTAGGCCCCTGCATCCCTGAAAATTTGCTCTTAGATGTGATGATATGATTTTCTTTGCCATATATGGGTAATAAATTGTGTTGGCGGAATAAAACAAACTATTGGAATACATCTTATGATACTGTGAGAAATTAACAGGCATTTTTCACTCTTTTTACTTTTTATTTTTTTCAGTTTGCAGACAAAATGAATTAAGATTTATCAGTGAGTAAAATAGTCATTAGTTGTCGCCCCAGCAGCTTCATTAAGTTCTCACCATTTATACTGTGACATAAATCAAAATAATCTGTCACGAGCCGACACCGTTCTCCAGTTTTTCTGCCTCCTATTTGCATTGACACCGTTGAAACTGACTGAACTCATCATTTTCATGTAATATACTGCGTATCAGTCCAGCCGCATACATCCTGTGGCAATGCTATGGACTGCAGCTCTGTGGAACGCAGCCAACAAAGGTCGGCTATCCCAGCTGGCAGTTCACCTCGGCAGCGGTTGCCAAGGTGACAGCGAGATGGAGGGACACGAGGCAGCAGATCTTTTGCCACACATGATGGGTTTGGCAGATAGGCAGCGAGAAGCCTACAGGACGCTGGCTGTGAGAAACGGGCTCTTCTCTCTGTCTCTGATCCAAACGTGACACATGATAATATATAATACATGCAGAAACACTCACACACAAGCTGACGTTTGAAATCAAATATTTCATTGGTGATAGAAATGAGTCATGGAAAAGGCTGAGGAGAAGAGGTGGTTGTGGTGAAACATGGAGGGAGGTCAAAGGTCTGCTGGGACAGTTGCTGCCCTCACACCAGACAGAACACTGAGAAATAAAAACAAAGCTGCGAGTTAATAGATGACTGCAAATGTCACACTTCTAATCATAGTTTGAGTATTTGTTTTTCTGGATATCTTCCAGACGCCTTCATATTTATATGGAAAACAAATGTGGCTGACACAGACATGTTCTGTAACTTGGTTTCCAGTGTTGAGAAAACTACATTAAAACCATAGTTTACCAAGTGGAATCAGGTGTCTTACATTGTTACACAGATGCAACTAAACTTAGACTGAGTAATGTGTGGATGTGTTTGATTTAGGGACTAGGGCGGACCAGTCCTCACCCATCGGCAGCCTAAGGAGGTGTTTTTAAGGAAAGATGGGGAGGAATTGTTGGGGTGGAATCAGGAAAATGCTGATCTTCTAGGAAAATTCATAGTAGCTGTAGTCAAATAGCAGGCGAAGAACTGCAGCATTGAGCCATATTGTCTGGCAAAAACCATTGTGAGAGTACTACAGATACGTGGTTTCTAATTGACGACATAAACTAGTACATGACCCAAAGTATTTACCTGCTTAATTACTTTCAAGACATACATGCAGATAAGCACACAAATATATCAAAAAGTATGCAAGGTGTGAGGCGTCTTTGCTGAACATTGGCAGAATTAGGGGGAAACTCTGGCCTTGTGGGTTATAAATAGCAGCCTGTCTGCATGAATGGGTGGCTTGAATGGGTCTTTGCACGTCAGCAGTCATCGTCACTCCAGGTCAATTTTCAATCTCTTCAGAGGCTGAAGGGAAGTTAGTAGGTATGGAGAGGACATGCTAACGATACTTTACTTATATGTATTTATGATGCCAGTACCTAAGAAACCAGATACATTCCAAAACGTTTTTTTGTAAGAAAAAAAAGGGAAGATTTTTCTATTATTGGTCAGATTAAACTGTCAAATTCGTTTTAGCCAACTTGAGAGTGCACGCTGAAAGTTGAGTATTCTTACTCAGCTTCAGATAAGTTGACATTTTGAAGAAAAAATGATGATGTTGAAAAATATCAGAAAAAAAACTTCGTACTTGTTATTTGCTTTGGTCTCCTAGAAATGACGTTTATACACAACTAATTTGAAACAGCAAATGCATTCTGAGGGAAAGGTAATGCAGAGCGAATTACGTTTGCTATTAACATAATGAGGTAATGTTCAGTCATCCATTTTCCGTAACCACTTATCCTGTTAGAGGTTGCAGGGGGGGCTGGAGCTTACATTGGGCGAGAGGCAGGGTACACCCTGGACAGGTCACCAGACTATCACAGGGCTGACACATAGAGACAGACAACCATTCACACTCACATTCACACCTACGGACAATTTAGAGTCACCAATTAACCTGCATGTCTTTGGACTGTGGGAGGAAGCTGGAGTACCTGGAGAAAACCCACACTGACACTAGGAGAACATGCAAACTCTGCACAGAAGGGCTCCCACACCCCTGGGTCAAACCAGGAACCTTCTTGCTCTGAGGCGACAATGCTAATCACTGTATTACCTACCACCCATAATGCTGCTAAGTTGCAAAAATATTGATACTGAACCTATCAGCCAAATGTTTTCGACCAAAATGGGCAATCTTGCGATACAGTATCCACTCGTAGGGACTGCAGCATTTTCTTCAAGTTAAAACATAACCAAAGTCCCTTTTCCTAACCCTTAACCAAAGTCCTTTTTGTTGCCTACACGTAAGACGGGTGTCTGGATGTGAACTCGAAGTTCTGGGGTCTCATTTATAAACATTGCATATGCACAAAACGAGGCCTAAAAGAGGTGTACTATGCCACTTCCACGGCAAAATTGTGATGTATTAAAACAGACTCAATGGGAGTAACTTTGACCCATGCTTACGAACGTTATGGAGACAGGAATTTGGCGACGCAGATGGTGCGGTGGAAGCCCGATTGTAGAAATTTTGAATATTTGTTCGTAGGTACATTTTTTAGTATGGATCCTACGCACTGTTTTATAAATTAGTCAAGGTGTCTTTGTACACTATCCTCCTCAGCCACCTTTTTACAAGGCCTAAGCTGTCCATGAATGTAGTGTTTCATTACCTGAAAGAAATGTCTCTGAACATAATCCAGGCAGCAATTGCCTTGTCACAGCAATGTCATTACAAAAGCACTTTAATAACATACAAACGTAACTTTTAGGAGACAGGCTTGGCTTTGGAGTGGCGTACAGAGTTCATCAGCACCAAGAACCCTGAATGTAAAACCACCATGAAAACCATGATAAACACACTGTGTTAACTCAAAGGGAAACTTCTGCATGCTCGACCACAGCAATATCACACAGAGACGGCACCGCAGCTCACTGTAATCATCTCCCAATGCCTCCTAACGTGATGTATTCCTGCCGAGCCGCAATAGCCCAGAGTTCTCTGATAAAAAATGGAGGCAAAATCTAAGCTGGCGGGATTGCAGTGTGATCCCCTCAAAGCTTAGCGATGTAAAGATGGGAGATAAGGCTGGAATTGAGGGATAAAAAGCCCTTTAAAGGGTTTTGTCATCACAAGACGCTAGGTGTCTTCTCTGAATATTAATGCTGGGATCTGAAGGTACGAGCTGATGATGTTACAGTAACCTGAACCCAGCAGAACCGGCTCGGCTCACGTGAAGTGCATCTATCCTGGCGATGACGGAAAAATGTGTAGTCAGTGCTCTTGCATATATGCACTACTTAAATCTAGTATTGTCAGCAGTGGAATATGGAGGATATTATTACCTCCTGTAATACAAATTGCTTATATAATTGCTCATAATTGCTTTTAAAGCCTTGTTCAGAGGTACTTTACATAAAGCAATTATTGCCTGATAGTCCCTTATTTAGTGCTCGTTGTTTGTCACTCACAGTTTGGGCCACAGTCACATACAACAGACACAAACCTGAACCTATTCAAAGAACAAAAGTTTTAATGTACAACTTTCAGTGTGGGTTTCACATTATCAGTCCCCACTGTTTGATGTTAATTATTCTCACAATGCTGAGATTGGTTAACCCCTGAAGTCTAACACTGATTAACACACTGTGGCTCCCTCAGTGTGACTCAAAGCTCATGACACACATGACTTCTCATCAGAGACGGCAGTAAGCATGAATAAAAAACCCAGAAAGTGCCATTTCGGTGGCTGTAATGTCAGAGATGGCATACTTGTGTGAGAATGTATTAACATGTCCCTCAATGTAACACGGAAATCATCCGAACAAGACGAGGGGTTTTCTCCTCTCCTCTGAATATTATGATTTAGTGGTGAACATTTTTCACGTTGCCCGTGTTTGCTTTTTTGGTGAATGATGGAGTACCAAAGTCTCTCCATCAGGAAGAAATTAAAGCAAACATCTGTGGAATAATGGACAGGGAAATGAATTCTCTCACTAGCAAGCTTGTTGTGTGGGTGCCACTGAACGTGACGAGCATGCATGTGCCAGACCGGTGGAGTGGAACTCGTTTGATGGGCATGTTCAACACATGGGCACGATGCCAATTTAGACAAGCATGCCCATGAAAAGAATCTCCGCCTGCATGCTAAGTGTGTGAATGTAACCATGTGTGTGTGACAATTAAGAATACACCAGTTTTCTTATATAAAAATCAAAATGAATTACAATTTAATTACCTTTAGCAAACCTGTGTGTTCACGTCAGTCTGCACATCTGGATTGAGTCAACGTTTTCTCTCTGATGTGTGATATAACACCTCAAAATACAATATAAGAGTTTTACCAGTATATTTAACTAATACCAAAACCATCATTAATGTGTTGTACTTTGAAAATAGTTAATGCAACTTTCATTAAGTTTGAAGAGAAGCCTATATACACTTAAAAAAACCTGAACATACCATCACATGAAGTCTCAGAAAGACCTTAACGACTGAAAGCCAAACGCATGTAAGGCAATGCTGCCATCTCGTGGACAAAATAAGTAATGCATGTTTCAGAATTATTTTGCTAGAGGACGCTGATCATATGGCAAATGGAAAATAAAGTTCACAAAATAGTCTTGAACAAAAATCAAATATTTTAAAATTGAGATCATTGTATTACTTAAATATAATAACACGAAAAACAATGTGCTAATTAAAGTGGAGAGAACCAGAAGCCAGGCTTAGATGTTTGAGGCAGTGAATGTTAGTGAGTCTGTCATTAGAGTTATTGATTGAAAACCCCACATAATAATTGATTATTACATAAATACATAATACCGATATTCTTGTAGATGTGATGAGAAATGATAAAGCTTGAAAACCAGGGTTAAATTGAAGTCAGGTTTTGTAAATCCATATATTCCTTCCAATGTGTCCCGTTTCTTGTAGGTAGGCCTTCTCTACAGACAATGGCTGAATTGGCTTGCCATTCAGTTTACTACTGTATCACTTGTTCTATGTTCTATTTAAAATAATAAATAAATAATAAAAATAATACATTTTATTTATAGGAACCTTTCAAAAAAAACAAGGTCACCTTACAGAGTATAAAATAACATACAAACAAGAATTCAGATATTTTTGTTTGTAATTTTTGCTTGTAAGATTTGAAACTTTTCTCATGTGCCAAGCAAGTAGGAGAACTACGGTGGCCAATGCGAAGATGCAAACATGCAAGTGGCCTTATCTAGGGTCAGTGTTTGATTTGTCCATTCTGGGCTGTTGTAGAAGGACATGATAGACCCGCTCTGTATGCGAACAGGCATTTCCTAGGATGGCTATGATTAGCAAGTGTTCGTTGCCTTGGTTAGATTGGTTAAGTTTAGACAAGAGGAGTATGACTTGTTAGGGTTCAACCAGGTCTCACTCCCAAGTCTTCGAATCAAGAACAAAAATAAGGTAGCATGGGGGGTCGGTAGCGTAGTGGATAGTGCCAGCACCCCACATACAAAGGCGATTCATCGCTCTCGCAGGTTCGACTCCGGCTTGCTACCCTCTCTGCATGTCATCCCCCCACTCTCTCTCTCCCCATTTCACCCTGTCTCTGTCCATTAAAGGCAAAAAAAAAAAAAATCTTAAAAAAAAAAAATAAAAAAATAAGGTAGCAAAAGTCTAAATGGGGTGGGCATGAGGGGTTGTGGATGGGTCAAACAAACACAAACCTTCACCCAGGAGAGCAGGGTTCATGTCCCATAAGGGGGGTGGGGGTTGTGAATATATTCCTGTAGTGTAATTTTGTACTGGTTTTGCACTGTGTTGTACTCAGTGTCTGTATAGCTACATGTGTTAGCACATGATCTGTTATGCAACCACCGTTGGTTGTATATATAGAGGTGTGTCTCGTTATATTGTTCATGTCTAATGAAGGGCTGGTGCCGAAAATATTGAAATTTCCAAAAGGAGCAGTTTCTGTTGTGCGGACCTGTTTTTACATTTATGAATATTATATAAGCCAATTATTTCTGCCTGTAGATGCCCCCAGATCCTACAATCTGGACCTTTAATTTTTCTTTGTGACATAGTCTACCTCAAACCTACAATTACCGTGCAATCAGCTTTTTAGTATATTTGGACCACTGAATATTATCATTCTTGTTGTTGTGTTTGGTAGGAGCCTACTTTTTTGCAAATTGAAGGTGAGGTTTTTACAGTGCAGATATTCTGGCACAAAAAGAGCATCATTCATTTATCAGGAATTAAGGCATGCAAAATGTTCCCTGCTGAAGAGAAAATACAATCCTAGGAGCACTACACCCTCATTAAAATATCCTACCCTTTGAATAAATCTATTCTCCGCACTGCTCCTTTAAATCAGTGACCACCTGCTCCTCTGGCGTCAGCATCCTCCGCAGGCGGCACGGTGCGGATCGATACGGCAGTAAAATGTTCAAAGTGGGATATTTTGGGAAAAGCTCGACATGCACGGAGACAGAAACGCGATCACCGGGCTGAGTGTCTCGACGGGGGACAAGCATGAAACCTGACATCAAATCTAACGTCAAGGTAGGTAGGCCTGTTTGTCTGCTTAGAGATTTGAAATGTGTCGGGTTGTTGCTTTAATCTCCGACTGTGCATGAGGGGGAAATATGGTATTCTGTCTTTGATGCCTGTTATAATATATGTAACAATGCATCTGAAGATCTGCATCGTCTTGTTGTCCAGTGATGCAGACAGGTTAAGTAGTGACTGACAGAGACACAGGTGATGGAGACAGACAGACAAACAGACAGACAGACAGACTCGTTTGTAAATATGAGGACACTCTGTTCGGGCTCAGTGGTAGCGCTATGCAAATGTAATGACACTGCATGTAAGCAATGGATTAACAATACAGGGACACATAAATTATGGTGGCCTGTCACACAGGAAACATCAGCCACCATAATCCATTTAAATTAGTAACTACATATGGATCCTTTTCCTAATCAAATCCAATATGAAAAGCCTTAATTATTTATTTTTTATAATGTTCTGAGGCTGTGATATTTCTCTGTGTTTGTATTATCACAACAGCCTTTTATCACCTATCTAATCAGACCTTGAGCAGAGCAGAGCAGGTGAGGAAAACCACCTGTTCTTGTTGAAATAAACAGCTACGAGCCTCCTGCTGGGCAAATCAGCTCTTTATCTCCTTCACATAATTTGCACCAAATCATTTTGAAAGGTAAATGTATTAAAATTCAAAATTTAAAGCATTTAATTATGTAGTTTTATCGTCATGTAGGCTACAGGATCCCATTGTTTCACTACAACCACATGCCTTTGTTCTATTTTTCTCTAACTAGCTGATTTATTCCCTGCATTTAACTCAATAAATGTCAAGCTTTATTGATTATATTATAAAAAAAAAATGAAACAAGACCGTAACACAGACATGTTCATCCCCTGCATGCCTAACAGTGAGGCGTCTTTGCTTTATGCTTCACACAAACATGTATTTTTATTCAGTGGTGACTGTGAGTGTGATTCCCACATCCTAAAAAAAGTCCCAAGTTGAGAACCATGTGATGAGAAAAAAAATACATATTTTGTCATCTGGGATGAGAGTATGGGCTGCTGGTTGCTATGGAACTGGTGACCTTGTTGCCATGCCAACAACCAGCAACACTATGCAGTGGCTTATTAGGTTTTTTGTGTGCAAGAATGTAGCTACAGTCACTGACGTTATTCCTCCTGTTGTAGGTTCATTCAAACTCAGATTTTCTCAGTTATTTATATATATGTTTCTATTTTGACTACCAGCATTAGATTTACAGTGACTCTGTGTGTGTACTATCACAGAAAAAAAAAAAATCACTGAGCCCATGAGCCTTTTTCACAGCAGATATTTTTGACATGTTACAGCATTAAAAAAGCACAGATGTAAATAATAAATTTAAAATGGCTGAATTCCATTTAGCTGCTTCGGTTTCAGGGTCATGCTGGTTCACTGTGACACAAAGCCTTTGATAATAAGTAACACCCATTACTATGACAGGTGAAAAATATCCAGTAGGGTCCTGTTGCAGAGCTCCAGGTGCACCTCCAGCGCTGGGATCTATCGTGTGGTGGAAAAAGCACGTGTTAAGGTGGAATATCATGTGTGTTTATCCCACTTGCTTATCAAAATATAACACTTACAATCCACTGTACTATATTGTGCAGAGTATTATGTTATAGCCCTTGTCATTAATGAATAAAGTAGCCTACATTGTGTCACGGCCATGCTACTGTGTAAGTACTGTATGCCTAATATAAGCTGACTGATCATATCTGGTTTGCACTTTTCGGCTAATGTTACATATGTATTGTTTGTCGTGCTTATGGTAAGGAAGTGTAATATATGTTTAGATGCCACTGTGTATGTCTTCCTGAGACCTGAATTTTTGTTTGGTATGCATTTTTATTTCATTTGGGATCAGTAGGATCTGATAGGTATAAAAAAACTAAACATTGTCAATGATAAAAGTCCCAGTGCCCTCAAATGACTACTTCCCTAATAAACAGCGTCTTATCTTGTTACTGTTGCTAAAACCGGTCAAATTTGTTGCCATCTTAAACTACAAACATTCTTAATCATAAATAAACAAGTTTCAACCATAAAATGTGATCAGGTTTTGGACCTTGTCCAGTTTTTTGTCAGGATCAGCTGCAGACTGACTTGGCAGAGATGGCTGCCATCTTGTTTTTACATGGATTAGTGTTCTGTGCTCTTACTACCACTAGATGGCACAAAAAAGAGTCCACGAACGAGGACAACAGGTCTTAGTTCAGTAGAATAAAGTGTAAGGTCAAGTAAACCCAACTGTGATGTCCTCATATGAGGACACAGGGTCTCAGGAGGCCTTATAGACATCAGGGTATGATAATACTCACTTATTGATAAGCCACATGCCTTCTACCAATAACACAAAGGTAAAATATACAACCTAATACTTCAGTATAACTGTGAAGGGTTTGAGTCCACCGGTCATGTGGGGCCCTTCCGTATGGACTTTGCATGTTCGCCCCGTGTCAGTGTGGGATTTCTGGGACATGCAGCTTAATTGGCTACTTTAAACTGCCCGTATGTGTGAATGTGAGCATGAATCTGTCTCTGTGTGTCAGCTTTGTGATAGTCTGGCGACCTGTCCTCGGTGTACATCGGAGCCAGTGCTGTTGGCAGAACCACACCTGAGACCTGAACGCCAGAATGACCTCAACACATCCTTAACACTGTCCCACCATCAGGTGCAGCAGGTGGAAACCATAGCAACAGACGTGTGTATCCTGAGGATGCCTCTCTGTTTTATCAAGGTTGCATCAGAGACTGAAGCATTATCCAAGAATGAGCTTCTGCTAAGTGGAAGGAAGACAGGCTGTACCATGGGTGTGTACTGTACAATATATGTGATGTGTCAGTGTGTGCAGATCTGTTCATGTGTGAAGGATTACACCTTCTGTGTGCTTTGGAGGGTCGCTGGTGTGAATGTTTGTATATGCACTGATGTGAGTCTGTGCAGCTGTAAATCATCAACCTCGCTCAAACCAGTGAGCAGCACATGTCTGTCATGTGTATCTGACTGTATCTCTCAGTGTGGTGCATCTGTAGGTCGGACCTGTGGCTTATATAACTCCCTCAGCATCGTGGCGACGTCATTCCTCCTCTCACTGTTTCAAATTTACAATTTTCACTGAGTAATAGATCACGGAGCAGCTGAACTCCTCTGACTAACTAATGAGACACAGACTCAGTGTTTTCTGTGGTGATGCCATGTTTACAGCAGAATGTCAGGCCTAAGCTGTTCTGTATTTTCATCCTTTGTTTACAAGTTGTTTTTCAGTTTCACAAAGTAGGTTTTGAAAATGCCATATGTTGATGCTCTTGTCTTTCTCTCCCAGATATTGCCATGGAACACCAACTGCTGGAGGAGAAATTAATGTGTATACCACAACAGTAATCAAGCATGGATCTTCTTTTGGGCTGACGTCCCCTGACAATAGCTGCTATGGCTTTTTGTAATGAAAGCCTGCTGGAGGAGTGCAGCTTCATGGGGCCGGACAATGCAGAGGACACAGCTGAAAGTCTCCCGTCAGAGGCTGCAGCTCCCCTCATATCAGTCACTTTACGCGTGACCCTGGCAGCCATAATGATCTTCATGATTACTATTGGTTTCCTCGGGAACGCCATTGTGTGTCTGATTGTTTACCAGAAACCTGCCATGCGCTCCGCTATCAATCTCCTCCTCGCCACGTTGGCCTTTTCGGACATAATGCTCTCTTTACTCTGCATGCCCTTCACTGCAGTCACTGTGGCCACCGCCGACTGGAGCTTTGGGAGCGGGTTCTGCCGAGCGTCCATCATGCTGTACTGGCTTTTTGTCCTAGAGGGGGTGTCCATACTCCTCATAATCAGCGTGGACCGCTTCCTCATCATTGTGCAGCGGCAGGACAAGTTGACGCCACACAGAGCTAAACTGTTGATTGCAGGTTCATGGGTGCTGAGCCTGTGTGTGTCTCTGCCGTCTGTAGTCGGGTGGAGGACAGGTGCAGCAAGTGTTGGGGGCGCCTGGGCGCCGCAGTGTGTGCTGGGATACAGTGACTCTCTGGCAGACCGTGGGTACACAGTGCTGCTGGCAGTAGCAGTATTCTTTGTACCATTTGCTGTCATGCTGTACTCTTACATGTGCATCCTCAACACAGTGCGCCGCAACACCCTGCGCATCCACAACCACACCAGCGAGCATTCCTGCCTGCCAGCACTCAACCAGGTCAGCAAAATGAGACTCACGGGGCTGCAGCGGCCCCCTCAGATCAAAGTGGACATGAGCTTCAAGACCCGAGCCTTCACCACCATCCTCATCCTCTTTGTCGGCTTCTCTGTGTGCTGGCTGCCGCACACGGTGGTCAGCTTGCTGGCCGTTTTCAGCCGACAATTCTACTACAGCTCGGTCTTCTACCCAATCAGCATAGGCGCCCTTTGGCTCAGCTACCTGAAGACGGTCTTCAACCCCGTCATCTACTGTTGGAGGATCAGAAAGTTCAGGGAGGCCTGTCAGGAGTTTATCCCCAAGAGCTGCAGACTGTGTCCCAGAGTGCCGGGCCGGAGCCGCAGGAGAGTGAGGCCCAGCAACATCTACGTGTGCAGCGAGACTCAGTCAGCTGTGTGAAACAAGGAAGTTGTTGATGCACAAACCAGCAGCTGTTGACACTCCTATCAGCTGTTTTTAACTCTATACTAGACAATATACTGGACATTGACAAAATAATCGCACCACAAGCAGTAACTTTCAGTGTCAACTTTTTAAGCCAGCATCAGTGAGAAATCCTTAAAGTGCTCAGAGAAATTAAATGTGAGCATCGGCAATTCCATGACAACCGGAATTGCCGATGCAAGGAAGGTCATGTGACACAATCGACTGCTCAAGGACAGCTAATGAATGGACCTTGTGGTAAGATTATTGTGTCTGCTACTTTCAGTCTCAAGATATACCAGATGATTTAACTTAAGCCCCTTTTACACTGCCTGTTCAAGGTGGGAATGCCATTGTTATTCCTTACCCATAAAAGGTACGATCACGAAATGGGGGGCAGAGTTGTCTCGCCCTTCAGCCGGCAGCAGAGGCAGTAACAGTGCTGACAGTGTAAAATGGACAGTAGGCAGGACAGGATGGGCATGACGTGTTGTGTGGAACCAGGAAATAAAAAACCCCAGTGAGGAGCAGTTAGCGGCAAACTCAAACAAACAGAACAGCAACCAAAAATGTCTGCAAATTGGGGAAACAGTGAGGTCCAGGAGATCCTTACCCTCCACACTACAGGCCAACACAGTTGTGTCACAGTACGTGTCCACAGGATCCGTCTCTGTAAGCAGCGGTGCAATGCATTCTGGTTTTGAGAGACAGGGCGTCCAGTCTTCTTTAGCATAAATGAATGTAGGCTACTTTATGGAAATCAGGAGTGCGGCGCAACTTGATGTCTCTGGAAACTCCTCAAAAACTTCTGAGTAACCTTTGTTCATCTAAAATGTAGACAGATTCAGTAACTGCACGGCTTATTTCTCAACCCAGATGTTTTCAGAAACACATTTTGATCAACTGTTCTCATGCTTCTGCTGGAGATAGCCGTGACATTATGTTATCAGGTTTTCTGTCCGTCTGTCCCATTCTTGTGAATATCTCAAGAACGACTTTAGGGATTTTTCTTTAAATTTGACACAAACGTCCACTTTGATGGTAGAAGGTTAAAGATCGAGGTCATTGTGACCACATCTATTGCATCCTTGTAAATGTGGTATCTTAAGAACACCTTGGGGAAATTTCTCCAAATTTGACACAAACGTCCTTGGACTCAAGAATAAATTGATTAGATTCTGGTGGTCAAAGGTTGAGGTCACTATGACCTCGCCCTTTGTCATTCTTGTGAACGGGATATCTCAAGAACACTTTTTAGGATTTTCTTCAAATTTGACACAAACGTCCACTTTAGAATTTGATGGTAGAAGGTTAAAGGTCAAGGCCATTGTGACCTCATCTACTGCATCCTTGTAAACATGTTATATGAGGAACACCTTGAGGAAATTGCTTCAAATTATGCACAAACATCCTTGGACTCAAGAATGAATTTATTAGATTTTGGTGGTCAACAGTCAAGGTCAACATGACCTTGTATCTGTGTCATTTTCTTTAACAGGACATCTCAAGAACACATTGGGGGACTTTCAAATTTGACACAAATGTTCGCTTTAAGTAAAAAAAAAAAAAAAAGGTCAAAGGTCAAGGTCATTGTGATCTTGTCTGTCGCATTCCTGTGAACACGTTATCTAAAGATCACCTTAAGGGAGTTGCTACAAATTTGACATAAACATTTCTTGGACTCAACAATGAACTGATTTGAATTTGGTGTTCAAAGGTCACTGTGACCCTCTCGTATGTCTCATTCTTGTGGCGATATCTCAAGAAGGCCTTGAGGGAATTCCCTCTAATTGGGCACAAAAGTCCACTTGGACTAAAGAAGGTGCTGATTAGAATTTGGTGGTAGAAGGTCAAAGATCAAGGTCACAAAACATGTTATTGGCCATAACTCAGACATTCATACACTAATTATGACAAAATTTCATATAAATATCTAATAGGATAAAATGATGACATTTTATATATAGAGAGGTCAACTTCACTGTGATGTCATAATGTTCCCAAAAACACCTCTGGCCATAACTCAACATCATATCCCAGGAACAAAGGGGGAGACATTTGGTTGGATAATGAATTGGTGACACTAATCTTTGGTGCCCACCTTTAAACTGTGTTGATTGTATGGATCTTGTGTGCTGTGGGGGGAAGATGTGTGTGAGGAATCCATGTTTTCACAGTCATGGATGTAGACTCCAACTGCAACTTGACGGGTTTGCGGAGGCATACAACCATGAGGTGGTAATTGTAGTAGTAACTTAGGAGAAAGTTGCCATGTTGGTTCGGTTTAAAATCTGGGAGCAGACAGCCTCGTGGCACACACAATGCTGGGAGGCAGCGCCCCTGCACGTGTTAAGACGCCCCTGTGGACACATACCGTTATACGTCATGCCCATCATGCCTCTCTTAATTCTGGAATGCTGACATTGCTATCTAAAATCACACACCTGGTTTTATATAAACAAAGAAAGCCAGTGTGATGACAGGTCTTTGTTGCAGCCCTGTTGCGGGATCTCTATGTAAAAAGGACTTTAGTTGTCATTTAGTTTTCTGAAACTTACCGCCATCCAAACAATTTCACATTCTGCATTTTCAATTTCCCGCTCTGTTTCATAATTTGTCCGTAAAGTGTTTCATCATTGTCTCAGTTTCTTCAGACTGTAGAATTGATCTTCAGGCTTTGAGTAATAGTGGTGATAATAATAATTATTATTATTCTATTGTCAGTTATGTGATGAGATTCACAGAAAAAGCATACATGGTATCAGTGTTGAGAGGAAAGTCTGTAAGATTTCAACTGACGTCTTAAAGAAATATATATTTTAATGAAATTTGTGCAGAAACACAACTTTGAAACTTATTTAAAACCACGAGTGTGTCAACAAAGACGTGCGTCAGTTATTGAGCTGTGAATGTTTACTTGAATGTATTATCTTTTCATGATATAACAAAACCAGGTAAAATAAATACAATTTTTGAAAGAGGTTGCATTGACAGACTGCTTAGTGCCGGCCACTTTTACCATGTGCATAATGGAAATAGGTTGCTGGGATACTACAGACATGTATTCACTGTGAGTGGATGTATATGTACTTTGCTGAGGACAACATACACAGTGGTTTGTCTGTTGAATTATATCAGGTTAGGTAATCCAATTGGAGTAGTAAACAAACTGTGACTAATTTTTCTCTAATGAACAAATTAAGTTAAATCACTGTACTTTTGATACAGCCTTTTAAGTTTGTGTATCATTTGAATATTGATTCATCAGGTTTCAGTTTGCATGTACCTTTATAAGTAGTTCCAACTCTGGTGTTATAGAGTAAATCCTAAGTTTAGTACAACCAACATGATTTGCTTTGATCTCGAACAACTTAATTAAGTTGAATATCTCACAAATCATTTTTTATTGTATGTTTAAAGACCATCATTCAAATGGTGGCAGTTCCAACCAACAAGTAGATGTTGTGCTGCTGTACAGCATGGAACAGGAAGATGGTGCTGTTCTTTTACTGTAAATCAAGTTAGATCCATTTCCTGCTGAATTCTCAGCCTCGTTACCCGACTGAATATTGTTTTACTTCATTAATTCTATTTGAACTACTGAACAAGTCAGAGGCATTCTGGGTAATCCAGAGGTCACTGAACTCCAGCAACGACTTCTGAGAAGAAGAAGGGGGCTGCACAAGGCATGTGGTCTTAATTTCTGAGATGTACAAGCAAAACTGGAATGTGAAAAGAAGCATAGTTTAATTTGTTTATGATGATTTACAGAGCATGCTCAATTCATACAACAGCTAGTGATTTTTTTTTTATTATCCATTAATGTGCTGTTTTCAGAAACACATTTCCATGAACTTTTATCATGCCTCCATAGCCTTGGCTGGAGGATCATATTTTTGGGTTTTCCGTCCATCTGTCCCATGCAATATTTTGATATCTCAAAAATGCCTTGAAAGAATTTCATCAGATTTGGCACAAATGTCCATTTGGACTCAAGAATAAATTGATTAGATTTTGGTGGTCAAAGGTTGAGGTCACCATGACCATGCGTCTGTGTCATTCTTGTGAACGAGATATCTCAAGAACACCTTTTGGGATTTTCTTCAAATTTGACACAAACGTTCACTTTAGAATTTGATGGTAGAAGGTCAAAGGTCAGGGCATTATGACCTCATCTATTGCATCCTTGTAAACATGTTATCTCAAGAACACCTTGAGGATATTGTTTCAAATTTTGCACACACATCCCTGGACTCCAGAATGAATTTATTTGATATTGGTGGTCAACAGTCAAGGTCAGCATGACCTTGCATCTGTCATTCTTGTGAACAGGATATCTCAAGAACACCTTTTGGGATTTTCTTCAAATTTTACTCAAACTTCCACTTTAGAATTTGATGGTAGAAGGTTAAAGATCAAGGTCACTGTGACCTTGTCTATTGCATCCTTGTAAACGCGGTATCTCAAGAACACCTTGGGGAAATTGCACCAAATTTGGCACAAACGTCCCTGGATGAATTGATTAAATTGTGGTGGTCAAAGGTCGAGGTCACCATGAGTGTGGTGACCTTGAACTGATTAGACTTTGGTGGTCGAAGGTGAAATTGTAATTATTTTCCCAATTAATTGACTAAAAAATTGTGAAAATGCTCATCAGCATGTCCCAGTGCATGAATAATGACTGAGACAATTAATAGATTATGGATATAAATTATTCTTTTTTCTGTTCATCAACTAATTGATTAATTTTGTCATATTCATGTTGTAAAGCACTGCACCTCATACTGTAGGGCTGTAATCACCTATTTCACAATGGGTGGTGGGGACCGTTTTCAATCCACACTTCATGTGACCTGACCCTTGAGGGGTTTTGACCTGAAACACATGATTTAAGGAAGTTCCATACCATCAAATTCAGTTACTGTTCGTCTAGACTGACAATGTTTCTAACCTCTGAGGGAGAAAACAAGTAGTACTCATTTAATATCCAACTGTATAACATTCTGCCATCTCAGTCTATGTTGATTCTTTAATATGGAGGATAAAAGAGGATTGGTTTTCATTCATGTAAACACACATTAACATGTACAACAAGCTAAACACTTTAATATGTGAGTTTAGGCCCTATACATTCACTCATGTGCCAACACATGACAACCAATGTGCGGCCTCTCCCTCTTAATTTAGAGCTCATGGTTGCTTCAACATCACGTTACTGTCCTAACTCAATCAGTTAACTCAGAGCTGGATGTAACGAGTCATTTAACCAAAAAAGACGTTGAGAAAAGGGACATTTTTGCTCTGAATGGAAGCTGTGACAATCACTTCTCAAAGGCTGCAGTAGGTTGCCACAACAGGCTCCACTGGTTTAAGGTCAGGGACACGGGAAAGTGTGAATGTTGGTCTACATCCCCACAGCTGAATTACATTGAATCGCAGTTGCGAAACATTTTTCCAAACAAGTGCCTGGTTTATACAACAATGTGTTCTTGGTTCCTCCTGATGACAAGAATGTGGATCCAAGCTTTGTCAGTTTGTGCAGACCAGGGACCTCTGTATTGTGTACAAGTAGTGGTACAGTTGTAGTTCATGAGGTGGGTGTACTATTTGGTAGATGGGTAGATTACCCGGCACTACACCACTGTCCACGAGCCAGGGCCAGTTTAATGTGACATCGCTGCAGCATACATATTCGGATGGCCCAGTTCGTCCAGAAAAAATGGTGTACACAACATGACTGAGGTTTTACATGAGTTAGAACAAAAGGAGACCAGGCGGACCAAACATAGGAAAAAATGGCTAAGAACTCTAGAGGTTTTAATACAATACTTCCATGTTCTGGGGCTTTTGGTTGACTGAATGTCTGGAGTCCTCTTGTTGGACCGGAGTTCTAGTTACGCATCTGAAAGGTTTCTTCAGGTCTAGCTGCTGTCATGAATAATAAAATGGATATTTATCTCCATTAGGCAGTAACACCCACATATGACGGATGGCTGAATCACCATGTGATCAACAGGGTCTGTCTCCATCACTAAAAGGTCATGACTGAAAGCCTTTCCAAACAAAGGGCTTTCATTTCTATAGCTGCTCTTAAATCATGAAGTTAAGTCAGCTATTATGACATCTTTTGATATGAACATGACTCCAATTAGGACAGAACTATTACATCAAGTCGTGTGTTTTATGACCCGGATGCATCAACCTTACATGATGTTAAAGGACTTTTCTGTTTGGGTCTTACGTTCTTAGTTGTGGCCACTGTTTCTGTAACAAACTGGTGTATACTCATCAAATAAATTACTAAGAACACAGCACCAGCTGACAGCGCCAGAAACACAAGGCCCTCCAGTTTTTCTTTTAGTCTATCTTCCAGGAGCAGATTTTAACAAAGTGCCTTCAGAACAGATAAGATTTACCTCCCCTAAAAATCCCAACATGTTCTTTCATACATACAGTACCAGCACCTGAACTAAGCAAAAGCAGGATACTTTCTGTACACTTGTAAATGCTATATGCTCATATTTTGTGTGGCAATTCTTTTGTGTTATTGTAGGCGGTGTGGGTCAGCCTTCAAAATAGAAGAGTCTGGTCTCTGTCCGAAGTCATCGAAATCCGGCGCTTGGGCAGTGGCTTGCAGCGCCAGAAACCAATGAAAAAAGGCATCCTTTAACGTCGGCATGATACGCGGCCAGTTGCTGTTATAGTTTAATGGTGCCTGGCGATGTCAGGGGAAAACGTGGCGGGACAAGGTTGAAAGTGAAGGTAGCGAAAGTCCAACTAGGGCAGGCAGGAGTGGTGGTAGATGGGTCCAACAAACAGGAGACAACTTTCACCCGAGAGAGCGGTGTTTGCATCCTGTAAGATTCTAAAGACAAACCTTGTTCTTCCTAAACCTAACCACATGCTTCAGTTGTTGAAGGGAAAAAAACATCAATTTGCGGTGTTGTACTGACGTAGTGCTGTTATTTTGAAAGATACTGTATGTAAATGTTAAATTTCCTGTGAAAACAGAAGTATATTTTGAAAGAAGACAATGCATGTAACAGGCAGAACTTGACACAGCGTCCCAGAACGTCAACAACCAACGTACCCAGGGTACCTTTCACGTCGTATCTGGACGTGGAAGGTCCATGACCAAACAACATCACGTAGGCAAACAAAACCCTTCACACATCTAAACCAGTAACGTTCGTGAACTGAAACAAATAGGTTCAGTTATCTTTAAAAAAAAAAACTTTACATATACAAGTTTACCTGAATATAAGCCCACCTGATGACCCCAGTGAAGCTTTTACCCTCCCTAACCTCCCTTCTCTCTTCTCCCCTATCTTCCCTCATCAAAATGAGGGAGTATGGGGAGGTAGAGTGAACAGCCCAGTCCGATGGGGGAGAGCTCAGTCTTTATAGACATCTCTCCTTGGGTCTGCCTTGACTTCCCTATGCTCTTTCTTTCATTTCTATCCGTCTAACCCTTTGGCTCCCACTTGGACCCCTAGATGGCACTATTACTGCCAGTCACAGTCTCAAGTGTGCATCAGGGATTGCAACATCTAGTCCTAAACTGAACTGTCCATGCAGTATTTTATAGGCATACAGGTTTATTTGAATATAAGTAAGAAGTTTAAAACCATTCAAGCAGAACATCATCATAACTGATTTCAGTTGCAAACTGCCTATAATTTGTAGATTCTTTATAATTACACTGAGCAAACAGGCTAACAGATGCAACGTCCCTCAGATCAAAGAATAATATTAGATTTGGTAAATCTGTGGTAATAATAAGTGGAGTAATCTGAGCATTTCCACTGCATGTGACTTCATTGGTGAAAATGTAACTTAAGTACAAGTTTCTGTTCAGCTGTACTTTATTTGTTGGGCTATTTCAATATTATGCTATTTATTTCTTCTGTGGTGGCAGTTTCTACTAGACAAAACACATCGAGTCAGAGACTTGTCTCTCTATAAGTTAAATTCAGCATCTGCGGTTGGACTCACAACACACAGTCAAGAATGAGCTGAGTGCAAAGAGTGAGCCCTGAACACAGGACATGTCAGAAACGTATACTCACTGACCTGCTGAGGTCAGGGATCTTGAACTTGCATCGTCAGAGGGGTGACAAAGCAGTTTGGGCCATCTTATCTAGTCATGTCCTTGGACATCAAGTAGAGCACTCACAGCTTGTCACACAATGACAAAGAGTAAATGTCATGTGAGGCCCTTGTGCTTGTGATATCCTGACATTTTTTCATAGGCTTCCCTTCCTATCCAGTGAAATATTTGTGATAAACTGAGAGGATGAAGTGTTCATTATGTGTTGTGAAATTTCTCCTTCCTCTTAGCCTAAATAGACTGTTTAAAAAACCCTCTTAGATCTGCTGGAAAATGCATCGTCACAAAGCTGAATATAAGGTTGTTTTCCAGACACCATGACAAGTTGACTTCCTATAGATGCATGACTCACACAGGACAGTGACACCACAAACGCACGATGATCTTGTACTGTATATTAAACTACCCAACAGTAAATAAAGGAGTTAAAATGAGCATGACCTTAAACATCTACAGCAGTTAAATGCAACATAAAGATTAATGCAGCAGTGATAGTAATCCAAAACTGACAGAGAACTTTTTTACTTAAATCTTTATTAAAAATTTTTTTTGTGATAATAGCATGTCAGTTAAAACAGCATAAAAAATAATAATAAGAGCTAATGAAACAAAAACTGTTTGGGTAAATACACATTTTACAGCCTTAAGGATCAGTGTATGTATTAATTATTATTCCAGCCCAGTGTCGTCTTTTTGAGTCTTTTATAGAGTCTGTTTCTCCCATTTTCTTTCTGACAAGGAACGTTTGACTGCCCAATGAATAATTTAACTTTTTTATACTTAAATTAACTTTACTGATACTTCCTTGGCTTACATACTTTTACTTCAGTAAGGTTTTTAATGCAGTATTTTAACTTGAAATGGAGTATTTTCACAGTATAGTATTAGTACTTTTACTTCAGTAATGTTTTTAATGTAGTATTTTTACTCGTAACAGAGTATTTTCACAGTACTTTTAATTCAGTAAGGTTTATAATGCAGTATTTTTTTTACTTGTACTGGAGTATTTTCACAGTACTTTTAATTCAGTAAGGTTTTTAATGTAGTATTTTTACTTGTAATGGAGTATTTCCACAGTACTTTTAATTCAGTAAGGTTTATAATGCAGTATTTTTTACTTGTACTGGAGTAGTTTCATAGTACTTTTACTTCAGTTAGGTTTTTAATGTAGTATTTTTACTTGTAATGGAGTATTTTCACAGTACTTTTAATTCAGTAAGGTTTATAATGCAGTATTTTTTACTTGTACTGGAGTATTTTCACAGTACTTTTAATTCAGTAAGGTTTTTAATGTAGTATTTTTACTTGTACTTGAGTATTTTCACAGTACTTTTAATTCAGTAAGGTTTATTATGCAGTATTTTTTACTTGTATTGGAGTATTTTCACAGTACTTTTACTTCAGTAAGGTTTATAATGCAGTATTTTTACTTGTAATGGAGTATTTTCACAGTGTGATATTAGTGCTTTTACTTTAGTAAATATTCTGAATATTTCTCCCAACACTGTTCATTTCTAACATTAACCAATGAACAGATATTTTGCAACAGGAATAAAAGCGTGCAGGCATCATTACTGAAACATGCCGTGTTGTTATGACGCGGTGCATGCTGGGAGAAGACAAACATCCAATATGGCGACCTTCACAGGGCAGGATGGAAAGGCTGTCGGTACCTCAGATGTGGACCTCTTACTGCACCCCGAGCTGCTGTCTCAGGATTTTATGCAGCTCATCCTAACTGAGGTGAGTTAATGTTGACAGGTAAATGTAGAAAATGTCATTTAATGCGGAGATAAAGGAAGGACACCATCATGTTAGCATACCGGCTAACTGTCTGTGTGTTTCATCAGCAACGAAGATAGGACTAATATCTGTCATGAGCTAACTAACACTTCTTCTGTGTGTGTGTGTGTGTGTGTGTGTGTGTGACTCAGAAACATGTCAGCACCAGAGGCTGTGAGAGTCGGGACCGGCTCACGGAGCTTTACCTCCGCCACGTCATCCCGCTGCCGCAGAGGACTTTACCCAACAACCGCTGGGGCAAGAGGATGGAGAAGAGCCGGGGGAGGCAGACACAGACACCGGCCGGCCACCGGTCAGACAGGTACCGGTGTCTGCACTGGAGGGTCTCAGCATGAACACCACTGTGATTTAATATGCAGATAGTCAGTAACTAAATACATTTACTGCGCCTCAGTACAATCTCTAGAGACTTGCAGTTTACTTATTTATATTATCTCTATGTTCTCCCACTTAATACGTCCCCTCCACCGCATCTCACAGGGAGTGTAATTCAGATGTGGGGATTTGATAAATAAGTTACTTTGCAGATTCAGATGAAATATAATCAATACAAAAGTTATGATGCATTATTGTAGACATGGATAAACCCTCAGCAGCTGCATCATTAACCTGATGAACACTCAAATGAATCAGTAATTAGCATCCAATAATGTAAGAAGGATGCTAATAGCACCCAGGTGTCCATAGCCAACAGTGCCGCCCAGGGTGTAAATGGCCAACTGGTGGGTCACAGCATTATTCTGTATGGACCGCAAGTGACTCACGGAAGTGTCATGTTTGTTAAAAAACACTTTATTTTGAAGTACAGTGAATGTATGTGTAGGAAGGTGCTGTTCCCTATTGTAGAGTGATTGACTAACTGACAGGTACTTGACAGAGACAGCAAACTAGTTTGGCAACATGGCCAAACACAAGTATGACGCTGAATAATTTAAACTGTGTGGACCTTGAACTGATGACTAAGGACAAATCTGGACTCCAGTTGGAAACCACTGCTCTATACTATATCACCTGACTCTCTGGCAGTACATTTGGGAGTTTTTTCTCATAAATTTACCACATTAATCAAAGAGAATATCCAATATGGCTAGTCTACCCCTACCCAGGGTTGGAAATTAGCACCAGCCATCTGGATGACGTAGTCTGCATCATCCAGTGGATGACAGATTGAGATTCCTCAACTCAGGGTTCCTGCTGATACCAACTGTCAATCCTAAACCAGTGTTCTCCTCTTCTTTACAAATTTAAGAGCTGTATATCTCACTGCGTGGCACAAATCGGAAACATTTTTATCCAAGGTGACCTGAGGCACAGGGTGCTGTGACATTAAAAACTAGGTCGGTGTATTCAATGTGGATCAGTCACAGTTGGCCGATACTTGACCAGATTTATAAGGTCAGTGTCTGTAAGTGTGTTCTGTGGATCTCGTGAGTAATACAGCAGGATACCGTAGAAGGTCTCTCTTGGTACCAAGATTACAGTGGGCTGGATCGGTAGTGTTTCACCCTGTGTCTCCATCCTCCCACTCCAAAGTATGGCGAGTCACCACAGCGCCAAACTGGCATAGGTGAGGGAATAATCTCAGTGAGCCTCAGAAAAAGATGCCAGTGCTTCTCCCTGTGCACCTGCTTGACAAACAGAGCCCTTACTGTCAACATGATTTTAATCCATTTGAGTGTAAATGATTGATTATTGTTGTTATTGTTGTTTGGTAATTTCCAGTTCCAGTAACGACCACAATAGGAAAAGGCCTCTGATTGTGTTTGACGGCACTTCCTCTCACCATGGCCCACTTAAAGTAAAGAAACCAGAGGGAACCACCACGTCAACAGGAATTACTGACAGGTTAAAACCTCCTCCTGCTGCAAACCTGTCCAACCCAATCCGCAAGCTGTCTGGAAACACATCTTCCTCATCCTCATCCGTTCATTGCAGCGCTGACGTGGCAAACCTCAAACGGGAAGCCAACAGCGCGGTAAGAACTTTTTGTTATGTCACCTTGGTTATGTATTACACAGAGGTTTACCGTGTCAATCAGGGAAACTGTGCATAATACAACCCCTGGCAAAAATTATGGAATCACCAGTCTTGGAGGATGTTCATTCAGTTGTTTAATTTTGTAGAAAAAAAGCAGATCACAGACATGACACAAAACTAAAGTCATTTCAAATGGGAACTTTCTGGCTTTAAGAAACACTAAAAGAAATCAAAAAAAAAATTGTGGTAGTCAGTAACAGTTACTTTCTTAGACCAAGCAGAGGGAAAAAATTATGGAATCACTCAATTCTGAGGAAAAAATTATGGAATCACCCTGTAAATTTTCTTTCCCAAAACTAACACCTGCATCAGATTAGATCTGCTCGTTAGTCTGCAGTTAAAAAGGAGTGATCACACCTTGGAGAGCTGTTGCACCAAGTGGATTGACATGAATCATGGCTCTAACATGAGAGATGTCAATTGAAACAAAGGAGAGGATTATCAAACTCCTTAAAGAGGGTAAATCATCACGCAATGTTGCAAAAGATGTTGGTTGTTCACAGTCAGCTGTGTCTAAAATCTGGACCAAGTACAAACAACATGGGAAGGCTGTTAAAGGCAAGCATACTGGTAGACCAAGGAAGACATCAAAACGTCAAGACAGAAAACTTAAAGCAATATGTCTTGAAAACAGAAAATGCACAGCAAAACAAATGAGGAACAAATGGGAGAAAACTGGAGTCAACGTCTGTGACCGAACTGTAAGAAATCGCCTAAAGGAAATGGGATTTACATACAGAAAAGCTAAACGAAAGCCATCATTAACACCTAAACAGAAAAAAACAAGGTTACAATGGGCTAAGGAAAAGCAATCGTGGACTGCGGACGACTGGATGAAAGTCATATTCAGTGATGAATCGCGAATCTGCATTGGGCAAGGTGATGATGCTGGAACTTTTGTTTGGTGCCGTTCCAATGAGATTTATGAAGACGACTGCCTGAAGAATACATGCAAATTTCCACAGTCATTGATGATATGGGGCTGCATGTCAGGTAAAGGAATTACATCTTCAATAAATGCACAATTTACATTGACATTTTGGACACTTTTCTTATCCCATCAATTGAAAGGATGTTTGGGGATGATGAAATCATTTTTCAAGATGATAATGCATCTTGCCATAGAGCAAAAACTGTGAAAACATTCCTTGAAGAAAGACACGTAAGGTCAATGTCATGGCCTGCAAATAGTCCGGATCTCAATCCAATTAAAAATCTGTGGTGGAAGTTGAAGAAAATGGTCCATGACAAGGCTCCAACCTGCAAAGCTGATCTGGCAACAGCAATCAGAGAAAGTTGGAGCCAGATTGATGAAGAGTACTGTTTGTCACTCATTAGGTCCATGCCTCAGAGACTGCAAGCTGTTATAAAAGCCAGAGGTGGTGCAACAAAGTACTAGTGGTGTGTTGAAGTGTTCTTTTGTTTGTTTGTTTTTCATGATTCCATAATTTTTTCCTCGGAATTGAGTGATTCCATAATTTTTTCCCTCTGCTTGGTCTAAGAAAGTAACTGTTACTGACTACCACAATTTTTTTTTTGATTTCTTTTAGTGTTTCTTAAAGCCAGAAAGTTCCCATTTGAAATGACTTTAGTTTTGTGTCATGTCTGTGATCTGCTTTTTTTCTACAAAATTAAACAACTGAATGAACATCCTCCAAGACTGGTGATTCCATAATTTTTGCCAGGGGTTGTAATCCATACTGTTTCTTTATTACATTATACTACTCTTTAGGTTTTAAAGAGCTGAAACACAGATATCAAGCCATGTCGGAGCAACACTGCCAGAAAGAAAATAATAATGTTAATTCGAACATAATATGCGCAAAACCGAAAACTCATGATCGCAACTTATTATAAATCCATAAATTTAACTAGGAGCACCCAGAGAGCGTGAGACCTCCAAGTGCCCTTTTTTCACAATGCTAATGAAAGTGGAAAAATGTGTGTGTCCACCCTGTGATTCGAATCTGCTCCAAAATTAATGGGTTTTTCCAGAGATCGAATCATGTGGGGGGAAAACCTGTCAGACAAAAAAGAGAATTTCTTAGTGACCCAACCATTTTTCTGTGCAAAACTGAAAAGTCATGATAGCAGATTATTATGGAATTTCACTATAAGGGCACTTGGAGACCTCGGTCAAGGCCATATGCCCCTTTTTTGTGTGTAGAATTCTGGGTAAAGCAAAATAAATATGTGTTCTGAATAAGTCAAATCACAGAAAAGTGTGTCATTAACAACCCAGCCAAGTTATGATTAAAAAATTGCCACATGTATTAAATTAAGCTTCAAAATAATTAAAAAATGTGCAGTAATCTCTGCTCTGAAACACTGGAGCTGTGTCCACTGTAGCCACTGAGCTGAAGAACAAGACGCTGTGAAGCAACAGACTCTTGTTAGCAGCTAACAGCAGCTAACGTTAGCACAAACCATCCGCCAGCGATTTGACCAGCTGTGTTGCAGGTGACACCATCATCCGGCTTGAGTCGAGCTCAGACGGCCAGTTCACACGGCTGCAACTTTTCTCTGCAACGTTCTAAAACAGTTTAGTCTCGCTGCGAATCTTTGGGCTTAAAAGGTACTTTAGCGATGGCTATTTTGCTCGTGTTTTATGATTGTGGCATCTAACAAAGATGTTTATTCATGTTATTTTAGACTGAAAGAGCAAAGAGAGCTGGTAGAACATAGAGACCTTGCCACTCACACCAGATGAATAAAATGACACTGATTCCATGCGTTCTAATGTTTCGTATAGTAGGGGAGAAGTTATGCTAAGAATGGCTCCAGTGCATCATTGTACCATAATTTAAGGCCCGCCCAAAAAATCCTTGACACAGAAATGGTGAGCAACCAGTCAAACTCCACAGGCCATAGTTCACGGTCTCTTCACATATTTACAAGTTTTTTCTAACATGTATCGTGTTAAGAAAGAAATCTGTTTTACATCACCAGGACTTTAACGAAAGTGAAAAATAATAAGTGTATCTGCCCAGTGATTTGAATCTGCTTCAGAGTGTAATATGGTTTCCCTTGGCATATGCTCCACTCTTCCATTGAGTTTCATAAAAATTGGGCCAGGGGTTTTTCCATAATCCTGCTGACCATCCAAACTGAAACCTCCTTGGCAGTGGTCATAAGTCATTGACATTGGTATGCTGATAGATGAGTAAGACATTGAAGTACATATGTGGCATAAATTATTTGTCTGACTCTGTTTGTAATACCTGTTGGTGTTTCATCTTCCATCTCTCCAGGGTGCAGTGAAGTCTCCAGAGGTGAAGAAAAAGATCCAGCATGTGACATGGCCCTGACCTCTGACCCTGATTGACACAGACCTGATGGGAGCTCAGGCTCTGAAGGACAGACCACCTCCCTCCCACCACATTTTTGTTGCCTAGTGTCAGCGCTCTCCCCATCATATTTATCTTACTAATTACAATATAAAAGGGGTGAAAGCCCTTTTACCTGTGTGTCCAGGCCACCTCAAAGTTCAGTCTGGAGTGCTGACAGGATGAGGAGGTGCTCCGCGGATCATCCTGCCGTTGATGTCTCAAGCTTCCTTGTTGCTTTTCACAACCTCAAGTGCCCTTACCATCAATACTCAGTAACTCTCCTCAAGTCCCACACATGGACGACAAAACAAGTAACACTGCTTTGTGTTCTGAAACGCCATTTATGGAAATTGTGGTTGTTGATATTCTTTCTATCTGTGCATAAGATGGTTTTTGGTCAGAGGGACTCCAGTACTGGTTTGTGAAAGTGTGAGTTTTTCATTCGGTTTTCCTTAAAAGTTTGTATTGAAGTGCTGCAGGGATGACGTTTATTTGTAGACCAACCCGGAAGTTACCATTGCCGTGGTTCCCTCAGTAAAAAGCCTGTGGGATTTTTTTCATTGGATTATTGCAGAAAGTAATCTCTGTGGTAAACAAAAGTTTATGTTGTTCATGAGTGAGGGTAGAATGGATCCTGAGATGGATCAGCGTTTTGGCGTGGTGTCTGCAGTGATGCAGGCACTGTGACGGATTGTTGTGGCGAAGAGGGAGCTGAGCCAGAAGGCAAAGCTTTCGATTTACTGGTCCATCTATGTCCCAGTCCTCACCTATGGTCATGAGCTCTGGGTAGTGACCGAAAGAATGAGGTCGCAGATACAAGCGGCTGAAATTAGTTTCTTCCATGGGGTGTAGGCCTGTCGCAATATGCAATAAGTTGGTTAATTGCATGGTAAATTAAAAGGGAGACGGTAACTTTTCCGGCCGCGATTAATTGCCGTACTCATGCATGTTTGTTTTCCTCGTCTCTCTCCACCAAAGAGACTGGACAACAAGAGCGTTCACTGCCGTGCATCGTCTGGCAGCCAGGTGAGTTGGTTCATTAGCATAATGAACGGAGGGAAAGCTCTTGTCATGGAGTGTCTTTGTCTCTGTGGGGGAGGTGGGGCTATGGGCCACACACACACACACACACACACACACACACACACACACACACACACACAGACAGTGCAATCTTCGTGAGGGGGAGACGAGGCCGAGAAGAAAACAGAGAGTTGAGCATAAGAGAAAGACATGAAACTTGTTCCTAAACCAAATGCCACGGCCCCTGTGTGGGAGTGGTTTGGATTTAAACCAAATGACAGAGGGGAGCCCAGTAATTTGGGCGAGCCGGTGTGCCGGGTTTGTTCTAAAACCATCTCAACAAAAAGAGCGAATACGACCAACTTAACTGCACACCTGAGAGTGAGAGACTGAGAGTCTATTTTTTTGTATTTATTTATTTATTTCAATATTTTTACGTGTTATTTCAGATATTTAAATTTTATTTTTTGCATTCCTAAATATTCTTGTTAAATAAATGTTTATTTCTCTTTAAAAGGGTGAACTTGCATCTATATGCCTTTATTATCATTATATAAGTTTAAATAATGGTCTAAAAACAGCAAAATTACAACAATAATAAAAATGGTCTTAAAAGCACAATATTACGCAATATTATCGCTTATCGCAATAATTTATGACGCAATTAATCGCCCAGCAAAATTTGTTATCGTGACAGGCCTAGTGGGGTGTCTGGGCTCAGCCTTAGAGATAGGGTAAGGAGTGCAGACATCCAGAGGGAGCTCGGAGTAGAGCCGCTGCTCCTTCACATCAAAACAGGCCAGTTGAGGTGGTTCAGGCATCTGATCAGGATGCCTCCTGGGTGCCTCCCGTTAGAGATGTTCTGAGCACGTCCCACTGGTAGGAGGCCCCGGGGCAGACCCAGAACACGCTGGAGGGATTACATATCTCATCTGGCCTGGGAACACCTTGGGGTCCCCCAGGAGGAGCTGGAAAGCATTTCTGGGGAGAGGAACATCTGGGGTGCTTTGCTTGGCCTGCTGCTCCCACGACCCAGCCCCAGATAAGCGGATGAAAATGGATGGATGGAGTATACCTTTAATGACCCCTTCAACCTGGGGTATTTACTTAAAATAGAACAAAACATAAAAATCTCTGAAGTTTGTGTGAACCACAGACCTTATTTCAGGCATCCAACCAAAAAACGTTGAGACAAGGGAACCTGAGGAGCAAAAAATGCTAACTGATTTTCAGGTTTCAGGACTCATCCCTGCAGCACTTTGTTGGTAGTACCATGACTTGAATGGACAGATAGAAATGTCCATTAGTCACAGTCTCAACTATGAGAATCAATAGCATTTGTGTCAATATCAAAGAGGCATTGTCAACATGTTGTGGCAGTGCTAAAACAGAAAGAAGGTTTTTGGCCATGATCACACAGGGAGTATTTTGCAGGTTGCAAAACGTGAGGCGCACCGCTTGCACTTTTTTAGTGTTGCCAGGGACTGCACCAACACGTCCTTACACTAACCTTCCAGTGTAACCAATCTACTGTTTTTCCCCCCAGTAATTAGTATCTAGTTCCTAAAATGTTGAGGCAGAGGGTACTTGCTGTAGCTCTGGTTGAGGGTGAGAGGCTGTCAGTAAAATCTGTTGGGCACAGGGAAACAGAGATCTGTGTGGGTACATGAGACCCTAAAAAAGAGGGTGGATCATGGGGAGTACCACCAGTTGGTCCAGGAGCTTCTCCTCCATGATGCCATTTCCAGACTTATTTTAGGATGACTCTGGGCAGTTTGACAACCTGCTGTCTATTGTTGGGCCGTATAGCTCTGGCCAGCAACCACTACCACCAGTTTCTCCTCCATTGTTTACCAACTGTAAACTTGTTTTCGTGACCATGATGAAACCAGATGATGTGGGGTGTTTTTCTGCTCTGAGGTGTTTTTTCAACTTGAAGAGTTCAGAGCGCTGTGGCAAAAACACCAGGTGCCTAGAGCGCAGATACGTGAGACGCATTGCAACATAAAAACTGCAAGCAAAAAGCTTCATTCTCATTAAAAACAATTACAAAAAGGAGCCCCCAGCTGCTAAAACACTCTCTGTGTGATCAGGGCCAAATGGTGTACCTTTAAAAGGAAACAAACCACAGATGATGCTGAACAAAGCATTTTAGAAGGTGTGTGTGTGTGTGTTTGAACTGGTGGTAGGTGTCAGTCTTGTCATTAATGAACTCCATTCCACTGACGTTTGGCTTTATTCAAACCTGAGTGCTGTTTCATAAGTCCTTCAGGGTTTTTAAATAATAGTGTAGTATTGTACATATGTTGCATATAACACACAGACTAAATGATTTTCATATACAGCTGGATCATCGTAATAATTCACTACTAAACAGCATACACGTATTGGAATATCACCTTTTAATAATTCATATAAAGAGGAAGGAATATGGACTAAACCAGGAATATTGTCTTTTTGAAGTATGTTTATTTGGAGTTGTGGATAAATTTGCAGCTACTGTCGTTGGAACGGACGTTGAGTTCATCAAAAACACACAGGAACAAGATTCACAAAGCGTTTTGAATCCATTGTGAAATCCAGTATCATGTTTGTACCTACAGTTTTTTAATTAAATTGTCTGAATACAATGAATCAGTTTTGTTGATTTTTATAACAGTAGTAAAGTCGGCAGCTTTGTGAACCATATCTGGTACTTAATGGGCTCCTAAACTACTGGAAATCTTAATTAATCTCACAAAGTCTCTGATCCACCAATCCGCAGTAGCTTTTGTATTAAGTTTGTGTGTACTTTTCTACTCAAAAGTTGCCAATATAAACATTTTTTATGTTTTGTTTTTGTATGAATAAAATGATTTCATTCACAAGCACAGTTAGCAATCATCAGAGCAAAGTCATATGTTTTATTTATTTAATTGGTAATAGCAGAACTCATTCACAAACCTTCTACTGATTATTGCATCAAGCTAGTCCATGCACAAAGCAGTAATTATTATTACACTTCAAAGCAGATCGTCTACATTAATATTGTAGATTTATTTCATAATGCTTCATACAGTGTATCTGCAAACATGTCGCTGTTTCATAAGCAAAGATCTTTACATTAGCAGTTATTTTATTACTAATAACTTTTTCTCAAAGAGTGAGCATTTAACTTAAACTTTCTAAATTCACATAACACTTAGTAGTTTGTAATTCATGGTGTACAACAATGTACAATCGTAGTAATGCTAGGCTGTAAAGATGCTATGGATGCTATGCTCTGTGCTTCGATAGTATTTATTGTGTCTTTGTCATTCCTGTATCATGACGCCGTCTTCCAATCTGGTGTATCTGTCGTCCCTCGGACTGAATTAGATGTCCTTGCCGCACTCTGGGCACAGGATGTCATCACGTTCGGTGAGGAAGCCACGGCCAACCAGGGACACGGAGCACTTCTTACAGTTGAAGCAGTCGTTGTGCCACTGGCGCTCCTCGAAAGAAATGTACTTGCTGCCTCCGAGCCCTGACGGTGAGAACAAATCCAAGTCAGAACAACTGAGAAATATTTAATAGATATTATAGATTCAGGGAGACAAATAAGTCTATGAATTGTGGTTACCGCTGATTGGGGTGGTGCAGGAGGCGCACTTCTTAGCATAAAGGTTGCAGAAGCAGTTGAGACAGTAGGCGAAGTCATCTCTAGAGGTAAACCTCTGGCCAGACAGCTGCTGCTTGCAGCTGGTGCACAGGAAGCAGTCCTTGTGCCAGGGCTGCTCACGGTAGGTCACCCCGCCGGTGGTGATGGGCTGATAAGAGGGTGTTATGGATGGATGTCATATTGTCACACTTCTTTGAAAAATGATGGAGAATAATTAAGCAGTATTTAGAAAATCAGTTCCCGTAGGCTGTCATACCTTCTTGCAGTGCACACACTGCATGGCAAACTGCTTCTCATAGCAGGGCACACAGAAGTTATGGTTGTCCTTAGGGATGAAGCTCTTGGTGCCGATGGGCTGTTGGCATCTCTGGCAGGTGAAGCAGGTCTCGTGCCAGCTGTTCCCCTTGTGCTCCATCTTCCTGGAGCCTTCAGAGAAACACAAAGGGGATGCAGAAGGTAGTGAAGGGATGCCAAGGCAACAGCAATGAGACAGAAAACATGTTTTGGAGTCAAGAAACTTGTGATTTAATTATTTATTTTGGTCTTGTATGTGAGAAATGCCTTCTTAATTTTTCCTAGCTATTTGGGATCAGTAGAACCCGATAAGTATAAAAAACTAAACATTGTCAATGATAGTTAAGTCCCAACGTCCTCAAACAAGAAAACAAAGTCTTAACGTAAAAAGTACTTGCTAATTAGTATTGTCTTGACTTGTTACTGTTTCTAAAATTGGTCAGATTTGTTGCCATATCAAACTATATGGCATTGCATACACAATATGCACATGAGCAGTAGGTGCAGTGTAACATACATACTGGCCATTGGCATGTTATCTCAGAATTACCGATATATCCTTGAATGGTTGCGAGGCCCCCAGGAAATGCGCCAAGCATTGCTGCCAATTTTATTAATCCAGTCATTCATTTTCCATAACCACTTATCCTGTTAGGGGTTGCAGGGGAGCTGGAACCTATCCTAGCTGACACTGGGCGAGAGGCGGGGTACACCCTGGACAGGCCTACGGGCAATTTATAGTCACCAATTAACCTGCATGTCTTTGGACTGTGGGAGGAAGCTGGAGTACCCGGAGAAAACCCACGCTGACATGGGGAGAACATGCAAACTCTGCGTAAAAGGGCTCTCCCTCCCAAACAGTGGAATAAAAACTTCCAGGTCGACCACTCGATGCCATTGGGTCCCAAAACTTACATTGTGAAAATGGCGTCTGTAAATCAATGGATACATTTTTTTGAACATCTGATGCTCACTCAGACANCTGGGGAGAGGAACATCTGGGGTGCTTTGCTTGGCCTGCTGCTCCCACGACCCAGCCCCAGATAAGCGGATGAAAATGGATGGATGGAGTATACATTTAATGACCCCTTCAACCTGGGGTATTTACTTAAAATAGAACAAAACATAAAAAACTCTGAAGTTTGTGTGAACCACAGACCTTATTTCAGGCATCCAACCAAAAAACGTTGAGACAAGGGAACCTGAGGAGCAAAAAATGCTAACTGATTTTCAGGTTTCAGGACTCATCCCTGCAGCACTTTGTTGGTAGTACCATGACTTGAATGGACAGATAGAAATGTCCATTAGTCACAGTCTCAACTATGAGAATCAATAGCATTTGTGTCAATATCAAAGAGGCATTGTCAACATGTTGTGGCAGTGCTAAAACAGAAAGAAGGTTTTTGGCCATGATCACACAGGGAGTATTTTGCAGGTTGCAAAACGTGAGGCGCACCGCTTGCACTTTTTTAGTGTTGCCAGGGACTGCACCAACACGTCCTTACACTAACCTTCCAATGTAACCAATCTACTGTTTTTCCCCCCAGTAATTAGTATCTAGTTCCTAAAATGTTGAGGCAGAGGGTACTTGCTGTAGCTCTGGTTGAGGGTGAGAGGCTGTCAGTAAAATCTGTTGGGCACAGGGAAACAGAGATCTGTGTGGGTACATGAGACCCTAAAAAAGAGGGTGGATCATGGGGAGTACCACCAGTTGGTCCAGGAGCTTCTCCTCCATGATGCCATTTCCAGACTTATTTTAGGATGACTCTGGGCAGTTTGACAACCTGCTGTCTATTGTTGGGCCGTATAGCTCTGGCCAGCAACCACTACCACCAGTTTCTCCTCCATTGTTTACCAACTGTAAACTTGTTTTCGTGACCATGATGAAACCAGATGATGTGGGGTGTTTTTCTGCTCTGAGGTGTTTTTTCAAATTGAAGAGTTCAGAGCGCTGTGGCAAAAACACCAGGTGCCTAGAGCGCAGATACGTGAGACGCATTGCAACATAAAAACTGCAAGCAAAAAGCTTCATTCTCATTAAAAACAATTACAAAAAGGAGCCCCCAGCTGCTAAAACACTCTCTGTGTGATCAGGGCCAAATGGTGTACCTTTAAAAGGAAACAAACCACAGATGATGCTGAACAAAGCATTTTAGAAGGTGTGTGTGTGTGTGTTTGAACTGGTGGTAGGTGTCAGTCTTGTCATTAATGAACTCCATTCCACTGACGTTTGGCTTTATTCAAACCTGAGTGCTGTTTCATAAGTCCTTCAGGGTTTTTAAATAATAGTGTAGTATTGTACATATGTTGCATATAACACACAGACTAAATGATTTTCATATACAGCTGGATCATCGTAATAATTCACTACTAAACAGCATACACGTATTGGAATATCACCTTTTAATAATTCATATAAAGAGGAAGGAATATGGACTAAACCAGGAATATTGTCTTTTTGAAGTATGTTTATTTGGAGTTGTGGATAAATTTGCAGCTACTGTCGTTGGAACGGACGTTGAGTTCATCAAAAACACACAGGAACAAGATTCACAAAGCGTTTTGAATCCATTGTGAAATCCAGTATCATGTTTGTACCTACAGTTTTTTAATTAAATTGTCTGAATACAATGAATCAGTTTTGTTGATTTTTATAACAGTAGTAAAGTCGGCAGCTTTGTGAACCATATCTGGTACTTAATGGGCTCCTAAACTACTGGAAATCTTAATTAATCTCACAAAGTCTCTGATCCACCAATCCGCAGTAGCTTTTGTATTAAGTTTGTGTGTACTTTTCTACTCAAAAGTTGCCAATATAAACATTTTTTATGTTTTGTTTTTGTATGAATAAAATGATTTCATTCACAAGCACAGTTAGCAATCATCAGAGCAAAGTCATATGTTTTATTTATTTAATTGGTAATAGCAGAACTCATTCACAAACCTTCTACTGATTATTGCATCAAGCTAGTCCATGCACAAAGCAGTAATTATTATTACACTTCAAAGCAGATCGTCTACATTAATATTGTAGATTTATTTCATAATGCTTCATACAGTGTATCTGCAAACATGTCGCTGTTTCATAAGCAAAGATCTTTACATTAGCAGTTATTTTATTACTAATAACTTTTTCTCAAAGAGTGAGCATTTAACTTAAACTTTCTAAATTCACATAACACTTAGTAGTTTGTAATTCATGGTGTACAACAATGTACAATCGTAGTAATGCTAGGCTGTAAAGATGCTATGGATGCTATGCTCTGTGCTTCGATAGTATTTATTGTGTCTTTGTCATTCCTGTATCATGACGCCGTCTTCCAATCTGGTGTATCTGTCGTCCCTCGGACTGAATTAGATGTCCTTGCCGCACTCTGGGCAAAGGATGTCATCACGTTCGGTGAGGAAGCCACGGCCAACCAGGGACACGGAGCACTTCTTACAGTTGAAGCAGTCGTTGTGCCACTGGCGCTCCTCAAAAGAAATGTACTTGCTGCCTCCGAGCCCTGACGGTGAGAACAAATCCAAGTCAGAACAACTGAGAAATATTTAATAGATATTATAGATTCAGGGAGACAAATAAGTCTATGAATTGTGGTTACCGCTGATTGGGGTGGTGCAGGAGGCGCACTTCTTAGCATAAAGGTTGCAGAAGCAGTTGAGACAGTAGGCGAAGTCATCTCTAGAGGTAAACCTCTGGCCAGACAGCTGCTGCTTGCAGCTGGTGCACAGGAAGCAGTCCTTGTGCCAGGGCTGCTCACGGTAGGTCACCCCGCCGGTGGTGATGGGCTGATAAGAGGGTGTTATGGATGGATGTCATATTGTCACACTTCTTTGAAAAATGATGGAGAATAATTAAGCAGTATTTAGAAAATCAGTTCCCGTAGGCTGTCATACCTTCTTGCAGTGCACACACTGCATGGCAAACTGCTTCTCATAGCAGGGCACACAGAAGTTATGGTTGTCCTTAGGGATGAAGCTCTTGGTGCCGATGGGCTGTTGGCATCTCTGGCAGGTGAAGCAGGTCTCGTGCCAGCTGTTCCCCTTGTGCTCCATCTTCCTGGAGCCTTCAGAGAAACACAAAGGGGATGCAGAAGGTAGTGAAGGGATGCCAAGGCAACAGCAATGAGACAGAAAACATGTTTTGGAGTCAAGAAACTTGTGATTTAATTATTTATTTTGGTCTTGTATGTGAGAAATGCCTTCTTAATTTTTCCTAGCTATTTGGGATCAGTAGAACCCGATAAGTATAAAAAACTAAACATTGTCAATGATAGTTAAGTCCCAACGTCCTCAAACAAGAAAACAAAGTCTTAACGTAAAAAGTACTTGCTAATTAGTATTGTCTTGACTTGTTACTGTTTCTAAAATTGGTCAGATTTGTTGCCATATCAAACTATATGGCATTGCATACACAATATGCACATGAGCAGTAGGTGCAGTGTAACATACATACTGGCCATTGGCATGTTATCTCAGAATTACCGATATATCCTTGAATGGTTGCGAGGCCCCCAGGAAATGCGCCAAGCATTGCTGCCAATTTTATTAATCCAGTCATTCATTTTCCATAACCACTTATCCTGTTAGGGGTTGCAGGGGAGCTGGAACCTATCCTAGCTGACACTGGGCGAGAGGCGGGGTACACCCTGGACAGGCCTACGGGCAATTTATAGTCACCAATTAACCTGCATGTCTTTGGACTGTGGGAGGAAGCTGGAGTACCCGGAGAAAACCCACGCTGACATGGGGAGAACATGCAAACTCTGCGTAAAAGGGCTCTCCCTCCCAAACAGTGGAATAAAAACTTCCAGGTCGACCACTCGATGCCATTGGGTCCCAAAACTTACATTGTGAAAATGGCGTCTGTAAATCAATGGATACATTTTTTTGAACATCTGATGCTCACTCAGACATTATCAGATGTTTTCAAGCCAGAAATTAGATTTCTGTTGCACTGGTTTCGGCTTGAATTAAATACATTGTCTTCTCTCTTGCTTTGTTTCTACCTGGCATGATGGTTTTCTTGCACGCGTGGCACTTGGAGGAGTACTCATTGGAGTAGCACTCAGTGCACAGGAGCTTTTCATCCTTGGTGGAGAAGGGCTTGTCCACCAGCGAGCGCTTGCACTGGAAGCACATGAAACACTCCTCGTGCCAGTGACG